CTTGTCTAGTGTACACTTCCTCTAGACCAGGGGTGTCAAACTGCCGACCCGCAGACCGGATGGGTCATGGTGAAACCCCATTGCCGGCATTGCGAGTTGGATACCCCTGCTTTAGACCATGAAACCATACACATATCTATATAGCATGTCTCTGTGTGTAAGCTTATACTCAGTATTTGATGATTAACAAAAAATATATTTTTCATATACTATATGCTCACCTTAAAAACAAAATTTAAGGTGTGATTACATTTTTCCAGAGATATCTTTTTTCTTTACAAAAAGATGGAGTTTCATTCACAGATATTGCATATTCTTGGGTGCTGACTCTCCCTCTTGACAGAGGGTAAAAGCTAAGTGATAAAGAGTAAAGGTCCAAGAATACAGAAGATCTTTGCTAATAGACCCAATGTACCCAATATCTTATTAATTGAATATCTACAAGGTGTTAGAGCTAAATAATCACAGTGCTCAGTTGGAGTATAACAAAAGTAGAAATAGGTGACATAACTTTCCTAATTAAAGTAGAAGGACAATCCCTTCCATTGCCAGCCTCAGACATGTTGGCAGAGCAACAACCAGCAAATCCACCATTCAATATTTATATTGTACTGTGAGGAACCCCTATGTTCTGATGTATGCCCATGGAAGATCTGACAAGCTGACACCATGACAAGAAACTAAATCTCATCTTTTGTATCCCAATCCAGATCTAATATTTAGATTCTTTCACAGAATGGTTTATCCAATTAGAACTGGACCACTGACATCATAGGATACAAAATAACAGGTAGTTTGAATTTACCCAGGTTTTATTTATCTCAGATTACACAAATATGCACTTCAAATTCATGTCTGTTTTAAAACAGTTACCAAGAGGCCAAAATGTTCTCACTCAATGCTATCTTTTTTGCAATGAATTCTATATATCCTCTAATCCCCAAACTTGCTTAAACAGTGACCTGTAACTAGCTAGATTGACTTTCTTTGGAATTCTGAGTAGTGAAAGGATTCTTGACAAAAGGTACATAATTCTTCATTTATTCACATTAAACCAATACTTCCCAAACCTGAGTAAATTACCCAAAATTGAGTAAAAGCATTTTTTTCTTTGGGTAACAACATACATAACCTGTTATCCAATCACAACAAGGACATTTAAATAAGGACTTTCTGATAAGTGTTTTTGGGTAACAAAGGAAAAATTTAAGGAGAATTGCATTAAACCAATCTTATTTTTCAGATGCATGGGGATTACACCCAGAATTTTTCAGCCAAGCCATAGGACATCTAGAATTGGCTAGAGGTCAGATGGATTATAAGAACTTTCATTGGAGTATATTTATTATAATAATACGCCTTCATATATGTATTAATTGACAAGATGTCTAAAAGGAATGATAATTGTCTTCCAGATTTCTGCTTCTGTTTTGGTTTTTAGTCTACTGTCTGAACTTCATTATATAAATGAACTAAGAGGAAATGGACTATACTTTCCTTCAAACTTGGTGCCCAACCACTAACAAAATATAACACAGTATAACAAAAAAGTAATCCTGTATATTACTTTATTCTTCAGTTATAAAACCACTTTCTCTGGAAGCCAACAATTATTTCATAGGCTAACAAATAGAAAGATGCTGCAAGGAAAGCCTGAGTTCCTTGCAGAAAGAATTGCTGTCCTTTTCATCCTTCAGGAAGAAATGCTAATAAGAGGGTTTAAGATCCAGAATGTGACTCACCAGTCCAGGAAAAAAGGTTCCTGGCCTAGCTGGCCTAGGTTGAAAGCAGTGCTAAGTTCAGCAAAAAGGAGCCCTAACAAATTATGCTTCCCTCTAATCATTCATATTGACTCTACTAATAAGAAATGCTAAAATAACTTGGTAATAATTTTTACCAACTTGAAAAGAACATGGATAAAACAAAACCAACTAGGAATAAACAAAACATTTAAAATTAGTCTTTAGGGTGATTTATATTTTATTTTCATCTAGTCAGACTAGTATCAAATTTTAGTATGGCAGTAAGTGGACAGTGCTGTAATTGACTCAGACATTTTTATCAGGAAACCTCAACCTTGGCCTCAAATCCCATAATCACCTCTAAAAAAGCAGAAATGTCCTGATCCTCTCTTACTGGGAATTATGGATACGAAAAACAAACTCATTTGAAGGGTACTGGTTTGAGATGGCTGCAGCAACTAGGGTAACTTTGGAGAGAGGAGCAACCAAGATGATTAAGGGCCTGGAGACTAAAACATATGAAGAATGGTTGCAAGAATTGGGTATGGCAAGTCTAGAGAAAAGAAGGACTAGCAGTGTTCCAATATTTGAGGTGCTGCCATAAAGAAGCCACCCCCCAGTGTCAACCTATTATCCAGATTGCACCAGCAGACAAGAAACAATGGATGAGAACTAATTGAGAAGCAACCTAGAATGAAGTAGAAACTTCCTAACAATTAACCTAACAGGTTAATTGTTCTAACAATGAGAACAATTAACCAGTGGAACTGCTTATCTTCAGAATTTGTGGGTGCTTCATCACTGGAGGCTTTTGAGAAGAGACTGGACAGCCACTTGTCTGAAATGGTCCCTTCTAACTATTATTATTATAGTTTATTGACTAACACCAATTGAGATACTATGCAAAACACATAGTTATGGACTAAGTTACAGTAAAGATATAATTTCTATTACATTGCTTTTGCTCCTGTATCAGAAGGGGCTATGTCATATATTACGTTGCCAAAGTTAACTTTGTCCAAGTCTCATAAATCACACAGAGGGAAGAACTCTGAACAAGCCATATCAATTTGATCAGCCTGGATGAGTGAAGTTAACTTTGTATGGAAAACACTTTTCCTGGAGGCCAAAATGGCATCTTCTAAAACCTTGTGTTTCAGAAAATTGTTAAAACCTTACTATTTCATCAAGTATTTCATTCTGTTTGATTGACTACGGGAATTCATCTAGAAACTATATGTCTAGATATTCAATAAATCAATCAAATAAAGAGATAAGAAAATATTCCTTTTTGAATTTTCCCTCCATTCTAAATAGTCATAGGTGCACCAGTGGGGAGAGATCTAAATTTAAGAATTCAGATATATGATTTTATTTATGTTTGTATTTTTATTTGCTCATTTTTTTCAATCTCAGTTGCTGCCTCTAAGGAAATATTTCCAAAGAAGTCCCATTGGCAATTCTCCAACTTAACAACTGGGTAACTCCAGCTGTTGTAGAAGTGGGAAAGAAAAAGATTTCTGTAATCTATTTCTGGAACAGAGAAGATAATGCAATTCAGTGGATGATTGTTTTCTCAAACAATAATTAAACAGCATTTTAATGCAACTTTCTATTTTCTATTTTATTCTTTTGATTCCAAGCATACTCTTTGACTAATGTTGTTGTCTTTTATAAACTGTAAGAATTGCATGCACAATCCTAGGTAGTCAAAATGTAAAATGTTAGTTGAGCTGATAGTTGGCTGGTTGAATTTAAATTTCTTTTCATCTCAGAAAAGAAGTTTGGCTTCTTTGAAGTTTTTGCTGGATTCTATTGTTGGCATATAATGTAGATACCACAATAATCTGCAGGAGATGGGATGTAACTTTTCTGCCATTTTAATGTTCTACTGGGCAGATATATTTTCCATTAGACTGTAGAATCAATTGGCAAAAAGTAATTTCAAGGCAGCCAGGCAGGACATTGCAGCAGTTCTTCATGGGATATCATCCTTGCAGAAAGTAAAAAAATAACAGTCACAAAAGGGCTTGACATTAAAAATCAGAATTCTTTGAAATAAAAACAGTGTAACTGACTGGATGGCAGCTGCCATCCTCCATCAGGATAACAATTGTTGGTTTGCTTTTCAGAAGAAGCCTATATTATCACCAGGTATCAAGCTGTGCATGCAGAAATACCAAGGAAAATCTGCGTCTGACCCTGCTCTTAAGATTTCCAGCAGCAGCCCCTCAGCTGGCAAGCTGCAAAAGGAAGACCAATGGAAAAGGGGCTGTGAAGGATTTAGAAATTAGCTGTCCTCTGGCAGATTGCAGACATGACTGTTTAAGATATGGGCTTCCAATCCTAGCTGCTTATGATGACAGCCAGTGAGGATTAAACACCCAATTTGCTGCTTAATGCAGAAGGATTTCAGCCTTGTACAGCCGAACAGCTGCCAAGGGAAAAAAGCAAACCAAACACAGTCTCAAACATAGGAAAAATGTGTCTGGCTCCTAACTCACCAAAGGAATATAATTTCATCCTTGGGGACCCCAGATTTACACATATAAATTGTATTGTTTAATAAAGCTTGCTCTGGTATAAATCGGAGTTGACCTTCTCAATAAACATGGAAAAACTGTGAAAGAATGAGAGGAACACATCACAACGCACTGGCTGGAATTCATGGAAATTGTAGTCTAACCATTCTAGATGTCACCAGGATGAATGAAACTGACCTCACCTATTCTCAACTACCTAAACATAAAATAAATTCTGAGATATGCTATAAACATAAGACTTCCACACTTCCCTTAAGAAAGTCACTATAAAGCTCAGATACAACTTTAGCTGGAACTGTAAATTAGTAACATAAGTTCTTTTCAGGATTTCAGATAGAAACAATAGTGTTCTTCTCCCAGGTTCTGGCATAAAGTAATGTAGAAAGTTTTGTTTTAACTGTATAATTCTGTAGGTATATTTTTCCCAGTTGTATTTCCAACTTTGCCTGCCAAGTCTCCTAAAATATTTGACAAGATATTTTCCTCTGCGTTCTGGCTCATTCAGAGGTTATACGTCCCTCTGACATTTTGAGATTTTTCTTGTCCCAAAAAATTGGCATTGACATCAAGAAAAGAAATTACCTTGATTTCACTATAATAAGCTTCAGTCACATTTTTAAGAACAAAATAAATCACATTACTTGATTAAATTCTGTCTGCCTTGCAGCTTTATTCTCTTTTCAAAATAAATACCAAATTACATCTTACAGATACATATTTATATTATTCTTAGTGTTTCAGTACCATTCAGATTATCCATCTTTAGATAGTTTACAAGTCAAATCATGCAAATAAAAACAATCTCAAATTTAAAGAAACAACACTGCTGATCACAGAGGAAAAACACAGTTCTTAATTTCAAAATTTCCTGTCAGAAAAATTATTTCAGCTTTCCAAAAGCTAAGACAAAACTAAACAAACCAGATTTTAGATTAGCCTACATGCTACTAACATACAGAAGAATTGATACCTATATCTGTATTGCCAGGGAAATGATGCCATATGTATATCTTAACACAAATGACCCAATGATATAACTGTGTCACAATGCAATCTGCTGCAAATTAACACAAGCCTAATATTCTCATTCTTTGCCCAACAGCATCATGACACACCTGCCATCATTATGATACCATTAAGGCTTCTCCTGGATGCATGTTATGAATCATTTCTTATGCTATACAGTATCATTCCATTTTCCTCACCCACCAGAAGTAGTCAGTTTGGACAAAAAATGTACAGGTATTCTTTATTATTATTATTTAGCAGAGCAGTGATTAACAACCTTTGGATGACCACACATTTGTTTTTGGTGAAGGCAGACTGTATGAGAGGCTACAAAAGAAGGTGCATGTATAATAAGGCCAGCCCTGAGGGCACCTTTTCCCTGGTTTAAATGGGAGATGTTTCTGCACTAACTGTTTTAACTGATTTTAAGGGTTGCATTGCATTTTCCAGTCATACAAGAAGACTGAAAATATATATTCAAATCTTACAGGAATGAGCCCAAGCATTGCCATATAGCAGACTATTACAAAAGTTATGTTTACTAAAGAATGAGAGAGCAAAAGAACCTTGGTTAGGGAGCGATGGAACAATAGAAATCAAAACTGTTTGAAGATCACATTAAAACCATAGTGATAAAGTAATAATAGCAGTAGGTGAGACAGGAAGGTCCACTCTGTACACTTACAGAGTCAATTGTCCTTTGGCTCTTCTTCAACCAGAAGAAGTCTCCATTAGAGATCATGAAGCATTTTTATAATGTAGTTAGACTTCCTGCTGCATGCACTGGTTTCCATATACCCCCTATGTCAGGGGAGGACAAGATGTGCTCTAAAGCCAACACAAAATTTGGCAGCAAAATTATCCATTTTCAGCAGCATAATTTTGCAGGATTGCTTTTCTCAAAAATATGAATCTAAACTGCTGTTCAGTGTCATTCAATAATATGTCTTCTCACTAAACTGGATAATTGCCATACAATGTTCACATAATTAACATATAATAAAGAGTCAGATCATTTGGCTTGTTTTAATTGTGCTTTCTTTAAAACTGTTTAAGTTCTCTTTCATCACAGGGGTTAGACAAGCCCCCCCAAATGCTTCATTAGAAGCACTGGAAAGCCTGGAAATCAACCAAGCAAGCAAGCAAAATGAAAATTATTTCAAAGCTTCAGAGTATGTGCCGAGAATTACTAAAATGGTATCGTACCAAAAATATCTTTACACTGTGAAATACTAGACAATTATGTTTCAAAACATTTGCTGTCTGGGGAATTTCTCCCACAGGATAGCAAAAAGTGCAATTTATAAATATGTCTCTCCTGAGCATATAATTTCACCAAAGAATCATTCTGACCCTTTCCCCCGATTACTAATAAAATAAAACTTACACATTTCTATGCCTGAATAAACAGGCGTTACTAATATTGTAATCCAATTCTGTGTTTAGTCCTTTTGTGCTCACTGGCTCTATGCAAAGTGCACTTGCCTTCCATCTTGGGTTTACCAACTCATCCATCAATTCTGTCCCTATAGCAGTGGGCACAGCAGAATGTGTTTTGTATATTTTTGCACAGTGAAAATAGCTATTTAGACTATTATCTTTCTCTGCAATTCTTCTTCCAGTTTCAGCAATTTTAACCGCTCAGCTGGAGGAGTTGCAAAGTAGGTTTTCTGTTCTTCTGAGTATTTATCTTTCACTTCAATAATATCCCGAAAGCTCCAGTCCTGCCAGTGGAAATTGAATTTCTCCAGCAGTTCTATTCTTTTTTCTTCTGTTGGCACACAATCATTAGGGCTTTTCTGCAACAAGAAGGGTACCTTAATATCTGGGAAAAGCAGAAGAGCCCGGATTGCAAACCAACCTCCATAAATCGGGTGAATACAAACACCATAGATCTTCTGAAATGAAAGAAAACAGATTTAAGACATATGTTTAAAGAAAACCAATGCTCAAATCCTACGCAGAAAAAAGACAAATGTTGACTCAGTACATGCCTTATGCCAAAATAATAAACTACATTAAATAGATATATGACTCCAATTTTATTATTTTCAGAAGATAACTGTGGAACTTTAGTAACAGGATTTGACCTGGAGTTTTCTACTGCAATCATATTTCAAACCCTCATGCCTATAGAAACTTTCCTTTCAGTTACTTTAAGAAATATTTTGAACAAAGTTGAAAATTAGTTGTGAGAGGTATTAATTTTCATAATTTTTACGCATTCTTTTTGTCCCATTATTACATACAGTGTGGGGGAAATTATTTGATCCCCTGCTGATTTTGTATATTTGCCCACTGACAAAGAAATGATCAGTCTATAATTTTGATGGTAGGTTTTAGGGTAACAGTGAGACAGAACAACAACAAAAAATCCAGAAAAATGCATTTCCCTGAGGACACAGATAAACCTCCAAATGACCTCAATGACTCTCTAAAAAAAGGCAAATGCCCAGCTGTCTGCAAGGAATATAAATCCTTCCATTCCTCACCATCAAGTCAGAGATGAAGCAGCTTCTTGGATGAGTAGCGAAAAGAGTCTTCAAAGAAAAACAACAAAGTCCAGTTGCCTCCTGAAAAGCACCTTTGGGACAACCATGACCTGGGTGACTGAGAATCCCCATAGACATAGACAAACATATTGTACTAAAGAAAAGCAATTGTATTACACTGATCTCCAATTTCATAACCTGTCCAAGGGAAGGAAGCAAATAGTCTTGCACATACCCATGGAACTGGGTATGTAGATACAAGATATAAGATGCAAGCTTGATAATAATACAAGTGGAATGGAAGAGGAAATCAGGTACAGTGCACAATCTGCAAAATATACTTGATCCTCCTGAATTGATAAAATCAGGAATGACCCATCAGTTCTCAAAGAAAAAAACCTTCCCTGCTGTTCCCAGTCTGCTTACTTTTTCTCCCCAGGAATCTTGATGTACATCTTTTCTCTGATACAGGTATGCAGCACCAGCCACATGTGCTGCTGTCTGGGCCAGGAATTTGGGCTTCCGGTTGGGCAGGATCTCATAATCATACATGATATCCATATTCTGGTCAGCAAGATTCTGGAAAGAAGAGTTTTCATTACAAGTGAACCTGCAATGTAAAGGAATAGTGGCTGCAGGTATGTTAGAAATGTAAGAACCATCTCTACAAACTTCTGCCTTGTCTAATGACACGAAATGGTGATGAGGAAGGTACAACGTCTTACAATGGCAAGATCTGAAGTACGTGGCATTGTATTCTCTCAGGTATCATTGATTTTAATCTTGGGATTCTACAAATTATTTCATCAATCCCTTTAAGAAATTCATAGGTCTTCTCATGTGTAGAAGAAGCAAGGCCTTCAATAAGTGGTTTATAAACAGTGCTAAAGTAAAAAAAAAAGTCTCCACTCAAAGATTTCGTTATTTTTTGTTTGCATACATATTAAACTGAGGCAGCTGAATGATATCAATTTGAATTTTAACATTCTAAATACCGGAAAGTGGAGAAACAAGAAAAACTACTCTGAAGGGTCAAATTTATTGGTAATTACCTTTGCATAGCACTAACTTAACTATAGCCAAGCAATATAAGCACCCTATCACAAAGTCCATTTGGGTGGTTATAATAGGGAGATTGGAGCAAAGCAAAGAAAAGCAAAGAAAATTATCCTATGCCAGAAACTTAACAGCCATAATTGCCTCTGTGTATAGAAGCAACCACTCAGCAGGTGTGTGTATAATGGAAAGATGTGTTGTTGTGTTTGCACACCTGTCAAGCCATTTTCAAATTGGAAGAAAAGCCACAAAAAGTGAAATGTCCCATGTTTTATTTATTATAAATACATACATACATACATACATACATACATACATACATACATACATACATACATACTAAATTTATTGGCTGCTCACCTCACCTCAGGGTAACTCTGGATAGCTTACAATCATATGCTTTTCCTTATAAAAGAATCAAATCTATAAACTCCACAAAGTGTTTCTCTCAATTGCATCAGCATATTGTGAGTTTGGTGCAAAGATAATAACTAAAACAAATGTCTGAGGTAACTATTTGCTCCACAAACAATTTCCTAAGAAAGTGTTATATTTGCGCAGAAAGATAATTTTCTATATTTCTCTCTCTTATTATATGGAAAAGCATGTTTAAGTTGTTACATGTTGAAAACAACATGTTGTTTTTAAGAAGGATGTTTGTTTGTGTCTGCTTGCAGATATAAATAACATTTACCTTTGTACTAGTTTTTTCCCCATCAAAATTTCAAATATTTAGAAAAATTATCCTACATCTTTAGCCCAAAGTGAATTAAATTATCTCTGTGTAATATCATCACACTGTTCCCTAATCCCAATAAAATTAGAAACATAACTATGACTTCCAGAAATTAAAATACAATCAGAACTATGAAAGATATGCAGTCTCTTTTATTTAGGTTGTTAATGATAAAAATGAAGATGTGTGCTTCCCTATAATGCAGTGATCTAACTCAGTGTTTGTTTTAACTTTGGCAACTTTAAGATGTGTGGACTTCAACTCCCAGAATTACCCAGCCAACTAATCTAATGGAATTACCATATCCGTTAGTTATTTTCATGGATATACCAGAGCTATCATATCTGAACTGCAAAATTCCAGCTTACAAAGCGATGGCAGCAAAGAGATACAGAAAAGCCTGATTCTTTGTTGTCATTCTAGCCTATATTGGATTCTTGGGCCTGATAAGTGCTTTGTGGTCTGTATAATGCCAACTATATATTGTTTGCTTTTGCCATGTGGTATTCTACTCTTATTCATTCCCATAGCAACAATCTCATGCTGCCTTTCAGGCTGATGCCTCCAGATATATTGGGATAGAATTCCCTTAATCTCTGGCCAGGACACCCAGATTGTAGAAGTCTATTGTAAAGACTAGCCAATAAGACTTCCATTTCTATACAGAACAAATATTGTAAAATGCTTCAAGGTCCTTTGCTGATTAATTCTATTCATCTACCTACTTTACTTCCTCAACTCACTCTACAATATGACTTTTTTTATTAGACCACACCTAATAGGAACAATTAAACAGCTAAATAAAAGACAAGAGATGAAGTTTCAGAGCTAAATAGCAAATTAAAAATAAATTACTGTATTTCACTGGTATATACAGAGTGTTTTTAAAAATTCAAACGTAATACTGTTAACCTTTTACAAAAAAACCCAACTTGCCACTAAAACTGGCCTTCTGTAGAATGAGTGGAAAGCAGGAAAAGAAATACCGATTTATTTTTTAAAAAGAAACAAAGGATCTGCTAACCTAATTCTAGCTTGCCTAGATTTATGGAAAGCATTACAGTACTAAAACTAGCTTATTAAACTAAGAGAAAGGAATGTTCCCCAAGAAAAATCAGGTAAGCTCTGCTTTATTAACTCTTAAAACTATCAACAAGTATATATAGCATAACTGGCAAGCTAGCGTAATATTGTATTAAAGAAAAAGTTAATATGTACGGATAAGAATTGAATTTATTAGATTTATATTACTACTCATCCAGCAGCTCCAAGTGGCATATATCATGCTTTCTGTCTCTACCTTTTTTCATAGTAACCCCAAATGAGGTAGAGAGGGCTGAGAAAAGTGAGTGACCCAAAATCACCTAGCGAGAATTCTGTGGTTAAGGATGGAAACCTTTCACCTAGGTTCCCTGCTCTACATCGACATACTAGCTCTCAGAAGAGTTCACAGTAAGGGCTGGCTTAGATATGGATACAACGCATAAATATGTTCATTGGTATTAGCAATATTGGCTAAATGAGGATTTAGACATATTAGCTGAGATTGCAGAACATACAAAACTATGGTATTCTTGGTCACAGTTTCATGAATAAACTACAATTGTTCGGGTTAACACATAATGCTAAGTCATGCACTAGAAATCAGCCACAGACCTCCTGTAGGAGTGGAATAGAACAAAAGTCCATAAGCTTGCTTTTGTTACTTATCAGAGCAGGACATCCTCGTCTGGATCAGAAAAGGCATTGCCAAACCATGCCAGCACTGTGTTTATATGCCAAAACCACGGGTTTGCCTTTGAATAAATGCAAATAATAGGCCTTAGTTGTGTGCATGGGTGTAATGGCTATCTACTGTTAGAAACAGGATACTGCAGAGGTCCCCAATCTTTTGGGCACCAGGGACCGGTTCCATGGAGAGAGGTTTTTCTGCAGACCAGAGGGGGCATGGTTTTGTATGCTGCCTGCATACCGCAGGTGGAGCTTTGCTTGTTTGTGCAGACCAGTTGTCCTGCAAACTGCGGCCCGGTACTGGATACTGGATTGAGTCTTGCCATAATCAAGCAGGACTGTTTTTGTATTTGTAATGGAGAAGAGACAAAAGGGAGGAATAGATGAGTCTTACCTTCCTAACCAGCGAGAGATGATAAGAAATGCATTGATCCACTGGATCGTGAATCTTCTTCAGTAGTTGTTTCTTCAGGAAGGGTTTGAATGCCTTATCAAACATAGCAGGAATGCTAAACACTACAAATGCCAGAGTATCGTCAGAATACTGCAAATGCCAAGTTGGAGAAAGGACCTCATTGTACCATCCTACCTTCAAGAGAGAGAGAAAAAAGCTATTAGAATAGGAAGGCTGGCCTCTTAAGAATGACTGGATGGCAAAGTCTGAATGCAGGAAGTTTCATTGTTGAAAAGAAAAAAAAAGTAGCAGTTACATTTTTTTTAACAATCAAAAGTTCCAGACCTCTTTACTCCATAATCTGGTTCTTTGGGATGTATTTTTTAAAAGACCAGATAAGCATACAGAAACTGAACAACAGCTGCATATTTTTCCTAAGATGCAGCTTTCCAAAATTTCAAAATCGATTATCTTTCAAAGCCTGAATAGAAACAGAAAGGGTAGAAACAGAGAAATGGGAAGCTGGTTTGCATATTTATCTGTTAGGCTAATACTAGAACTAGTTAACAGAATAAAAGTGCGTAGGAATTAAATAAAACAGTAATCATATCTCAACCTAATTAGCCAAGATAAGCTTTTAACAGGATCGTCAGTGTTCTTTCTGATGCATCTGTATTAATGAACCAAATAGTTTACTTTTTTAATATGGGAAATTATAACTTTAGGAAACATGAATTTAAACTAACTTCAAATTATAATTTTACAATGCAAACATCAATACAAAAAATGAAACTGTAGCTATTTAAATTTTAATTTTGAATACTAATTGATTTGTTTGAAAACTGGAATTAATTTAGGGTTTACAACCTCTGATGTGAGTTAATGACATAGCATATTTGCTCCTTGTGATGTCATAAGGGATGTGAACAGAAGTAAGCAAGAAGCTTGGGGCCTCCATTGAACTATGTGTTTCATATCCAAAGATGAATTAAAAGATAAACAAAGCACTTGGGGTCATAAGCAGGAGATTACCAGACACGTTTTGAAAGTGCTACTTGAAGGCAGGTACTAGTGATCTAAATCAGACTGCAATCTGATGCTTATTTACTCAGATAAATATGATTGCAATTTTGAGTGCATTTTGGCATAAAACTTTAAAAGTAGGTGCTTGTATTCTACTAAACAAAACTCCCCTTTTAAAAAAAGTAGTATGAAGTCTTTACTGAGGATGAAGCAATATGTTCCAATAATATCTGATTTGAACATAGCATATTGTAGCTTTGTTGGTGAGAAACAAATTGGGAAAAGAAGACGGTAAAGATTCTGCGTGCTTCATAGTCACACAGACATTTTTTGTTGTAAAAATTCTTATTACCTGCAACTTATTTCTACGTGACTGGGTTTAGTCACATGGTTCTAACATATACCTAATTTGACTCCAAGTCATAGTATATAGCAGAGGTGCCGCGACGTATCACAACTTTTTTTTGCCATTGCCGGCAATGGGGTGGGTGCAATTTCACTATGATGCATCAGGCCTGCGGGCCAGCAGTTTGACACCCATGGTATATATAGTATATCATTCAAACACAGAAAAGAGGGCTAATTGGATAACCCATGAATAGGGAGATCTCTACTCAGTGATAGCATCTTGCTTTTGTTCTCCCTTCACTCTCTAAATGAGGATTAAATTATTTGAAGATCTTTGTACCACTGTGAGTACAAGCCTATGTTTAAATTGTGCTGTCCTTTCAACTCTAGGATGAAACACCTATCCTGGTAGCTGTTGAAACTTTGCCAATACAGGCAATTTTATTCAAGCAAAAGGTCAGATATGCTGACATCAGACGGGCCAAATTCACATAAAACTTGAAACTGGAATGTGGTTGGCTAATTTGTGGTTAAATGTTTGTGTGTTGTTGTTCGTCCATCGATTTCGATGAAGACTTTGACATCTTATGGATTATGGACCATCAACGGTGTGTCCGTAGATGGCTGATAAGACCGATGTTAGCACGGAATGTTCTGCCACATACTGAACAGAGAAATGTGGACACTATTGCTTCAGCATTTGCAGCTCTGGCTTTACGGAGTGCTCGCTTCTCTTGTGCCAAGATTGTCCTTCTGTGTTCATATGTCTGGCAACCCTAGTAAACCAGGGTACGCCATGTCGGTCAATCATGCGCCAAAAATTCCCAAGAGATGGTGTCGATATCCAGGGACTTGAGAGATGCTTTCAGCGTGTCTTTGTATCGCTTCTTTTGTCACCCGTGCGATCGCTTTCCTTGAGACAGCTCACCATAGAAGAGCTGTTTAGGGATGCGATGGTCTGGCATCCTTACAACGTGGCCTGCCCAGCGCATCTGGGCTTTCATCAACAGAGTATAAACTGATGACAGGCCTGCTCTGGAGAGGACATCTGTATCTGGTATCTTATCCTGCCGGTATGATTGACTAGTTGGCTAGTTTATAATTGAGTGTAAATTAATTAACCATGGATAAGCATGTTAGATAAGCACACAGCAAACTATAAACTGGCTACATGGGCTGGAGTTGACATAACACATTCGGCTAGTCTGTGTTCAGTAAATCATAACAGTAGTCCTCGACTTACAAGCACAATTGGGACCAGAATTCCTGTCATAAGTCATCATGGTTGTAAATCAAGTTGGACCTGATGTTATAACAATTTTAACAACAGTTCTTAAGCAAATCACAGTCATTGAGCAAATTACAGAATCAAGTGACTTCAGCTTCCTCAGACAGCATTTTTTGCTGGAAGTTGGCAAAAAAGATTGCAAATCATGATCATGTGACAACAGGATGCTGCAATTAGTCATAAATGCAAGCCAGCTGCCAAGCACCAGAACTGTGTTCAAGTGACCATGGGGGTGGTGCATTGGTCATAATGACTTGCTCATTCCTTCTTCCTGTGTCTGCACTGCCAGAATATAAAATTTGGGCTAATTTTGATCCAACCATACCATCACATAAACTTTTGCCATGAAGCCCCCTTACTCAGCTGAATAGAGTTTTATTCCCTTTCCTTTTGTTTCATGTGCTTAAAACAACAACCTCAGTCTTAGAAAAAAGTCGTACGCTATTTGCATGACTTAGCTGCAAAATAGCAAATGACATTTTAGTCTGACAAGTTTTAGTCATCCAAGCCTATGCTATGGTACTATCTTATCATTTAATGCCATGCAACTGGGCAAAGTAAATTATTATTATGAAAATATTGCTCAAAATGGAAGATCTTGTACAAACATTATGACCAAGAGAATAGAGCAGATTGCTAATCTTTTTTTTCCAGAAACCATGTTCTATCATAGATTCCTTGCATTAGGATTCCACAAACACTTGGACAGGGTTTTTCAGCTGAAGATATAAGGAAAAAGCTACTATACAGGTAGCTTAGGAAAGGGAAGGCCATCTTTGTTTTGGATAACCCTCTCATTTTCCCCCAGGCCTTGCAATCAATGGAAGCTATACTTTGAGTAAACCTTCAAAGCAGCTAGCAGTGTTTCCCAGAGTGGGGGGATAGAATGGCATAATTCACATTTGCCACGCCTTAGTTTCCCTGCCGATGGTTTATTCACTAAACCTCACTTGCCTAAGTGTTTGTATAACACATTAAGTCATAAACTCTGATTCTGACACATTAAGTCATAAACTCTGATTCTGCAGTATGATTCACATAACATGCTGGAGCAAAGTGTGCTACTGCTAGCCAAACACGTATGTTTTTGCTTTCCAGGATCACAGATGGACACATGGAATGTTACAAATATTATTATCACAATTCGGCTTAGAGTGAAAGGGTAAGTTCCTTTCTGTGATTATACTACACATTTACTATACATTAATCACTTGTTGATAAACATCTATTGTGCAACTAGATCTTGGGGAAGCAATCTTCTTTTCCTTGTCTGCCCTGTAAGAAAAAAACAAAATTTTCTGAGTGGGTGGAGGCTCATCCCTCCAGTGTAGTTCAAGAGAATAGTATCAGGAGAAAAGGGCATAATGAAGCCGTCTCCTTTTTTGTTTTAGCTAAAGAAATGGAGAGATGAAAGCTTTCCAGAATAAATGTTTTGATGCTAATTTTCAGTGGCATGGCTTATAGAAACTCTGGAAATCACTATCTGAATGCTAGAGGCTGCATAAACCCAAGGCTGTCGAGCTCTGATCAAGCACTAGGAGCTATAGTACCTATTGCTATCACTGAACTAAATGTTAGTCACTGCTTTGTCTTTCTTGACTGTCTAATAGGTGCTGAGGTGAGGTTACTGTGTGCAATATGTACGGACTACGGTTCAAGCTGAAACCCTGACCATTATGATTCCAGCTATTCCTCACTGGGGTTGCCATCCTTTTTGACCCATCAGGACTCCTGCACATTTGCAAAGTCCTCCACAATCAATTACAATTAAAAAAAGGAGGGCAAGCCTATTAATGGGTGCTGGTTCTACAAACTGATCTTTGAAACTGTTCAATAAAAACTTGGATTTAGCAACTGATCATTGTCAGTCTGTGTTAGTTGATGGGATCCTACCTACCATCATATAGTTTTAATGTATGCAACTCTTGAACTCTAAATGGAAGCTCAAAAGACTTCCTATTACAAGGACTCAACTCAGCACTTGAGATGAGAAAAAGGATGCTAATTCCTATTACTACTTCTGTGATGGACCATGCAATCTGGTACCAGAGAAAAACCATAAAGATATATTCTGCTGAGGCAAGAACTGGTACGCCCAAGAAACCAAGGAGAGTAAGCATGCATTTGAATAAAGAAAAATTGTAAGAGATTATTCAAATGATGCAAGAAGTCAAGGTTGGGTTTATAAATTGCACTAATTCATAATATAATTTATTTATTTTTGACTGAACATGTCACATTAAGTTTGCAAATCACAGATTTGGAAGTTATGTGAATCTAGCTATTGTGTCTTATTTAACAAACCACAAGATACACTGTGAACTGACAATGAACAACAGATGAGTGTTAAGTGTTCTCTTGTTTAATGACAAATCACCACTTTATACAATCATAGTTTAGCATCTACATTTGGACCTATGCCACGATATGCCCATTTTGTATTTTCCTTTCTACAACCTTCCTCCATCATAAGTGCAGGAAGGACCTGCCTTTTTTTTTTAACCTCTGCCTTTTTTGCCTCTAAAATAATTACATATTTCTGCCCAGGTATGACTTCATTCAGATTTGTTACCTTTGACTTTTATTCGTTCTATATTCAAGCTTGCATTGCCTGTTTCTTTCCTAGTGTACCATTCAATAAAAATATTAGCATTGGCTCCTAGAAGAGTAGTATGCTTCTTTTAATTGCAATCTAGTCCTCCCTTACGCTACCCTTGATGAACCTGAATTCAGAGATGCCAGGCCTCTATGTGCATCGTTTAATTCAGGAACCCTTGGTTCAGTTAACTAGGAGTTAATGTGTTGCATATTTTTATGACTAGCTCATGATTCAGTGAGAAACCAGCTTCTGTAAAAGAATTTAAACCTGTTTACAGGGAGCACTACTGCCTCGCATTTTGATGACCTCATTAAAAAAAAACATTGTTATATAAAACACTATGACTGTGTGTATAGTTGATGTTCTGTACATTAATAGAATAAAGCCTAGTCATGTAGGATTTCTATACCCCATGCCCTAGCATTTGCACTGGTATTTATTGTTTTGGTTTGGCTAAGTCAAACTGTAATATAATTACTTCATATTATCACTGGCTGGCAACTTTGTTGCAAGACAATAGGGTTGCCTTGCTGATTTTAAAACAGAAATTCTACAGAACTGGCATCACATTCCTATTGTTTGCACTATTTTAAAAATGGCATTTGACACAATTTATTTATCTGACATGTTGGATACCCTAAATAATTTGGTGAAGAATTTCTCATATTTGGTAGCTTATAATCAACTTGATTGGAAAAATATCTATTTGACTTGTTAGAAAAATACAAATAAAATACTTCCCTTTTAAACCAGAAATAGGAATATCTCTAAGTCTTTCAGCTCTTCAAATGTTAGAAGAAACAACTAGAAACAGCAATTTACTGTGCCGAGATTACTGTATATACAATTTTCTTTTGACTGCCCAAATTATTCAATTAATAGCAATAGCACTTAGACATATAATACTGCTCCATAGTGCTTTTTACAACACTCTTTGGGCAGTTTACAATGTCAGCATATTGCCCCCAATAATTTGGCTCCTCATTTTAGTAACCTTGGCAGGATGGAAGGCTGAGTCAATCTTGAGTCCTGTCAGGATTGAACTCCAGACTGTGGGCAGAGTTAGCCTGCAATACTGCATTCTAACCACTGCACTATTGGTTACAGGTGGGACCTGCATCTATGCAAATGATTTACCTCCTCAGCATAAATGTTTAACTTGCAAGACAATGCTACTTGATATTCATTTCCATATAAGCTATTATTGGCTGTATCTCCTATTTTATACCTATCAATTGTACTTCCTTTTAATGCCACAAGTTTGATAGTACTTCAGAAAGTTATTCTGAAAGCACCTTCCCCAAATGCTTTTGGAAGCCAGATTCACTTAACAACCATGTTACTAACTTAACAACTGCAGTGATTCACTTAACAACTGTGGCAAGAAAGGTCATAAAATGGGGGGAAATCACTTAACTGTCTCCCTTAGTAATTGAAATTTTGGGCTCAATTGTGGTTGGAGTTTGAGGACTACCTGTAACTCACCTAAAAACTGCAAAATTATGCTGCAGCAAAACGTTCGGATGCCTCATATATTGTTTCCACGAATATTAAAAGATTGCCTGTCAATTATATCACATGTGAATTCCAATATGTGTAATTAAAATATGTCCAATGCATAGGAAAGTCCAAAAAAATAGTAAATCAGTAATCGCCTTCCTCTCTCTCTTTCACACACACACACACACACAGCGACAGTTATTCTTTAATATTATAAGCACTGCATGACGTCAAGGAAACTCTAAATACTATAGTTGGAGAGCGGTATTGATCTACAAAAAAAATTGGTCTACTCTACAAGCAAAAACAATCAGAAGTCTGGTAGCACCTTTTCCGACTAATACATATTTTGTGAGCCACAACTTACGCCTTTCTGCCTGACAAGTGCAGCACAATAAAAAGTACATATATTCATCTCCCTCCTTAACGGAGCGCTCTTGCCCCTAACGTGCGCGCCGTACCTTAAACGGATAAATCTCAAAACCCAGATTTTCCAGGAGATCTCGGATCTTTCTCTCCAGATGGACCACATGTAACTCCATGGCGCTCGAGCGCTAGGTCCTATGGGAAATGTAGTTTTCGCGACGCACGAAAGCCTCTCGCCCACATACCCGGCGCGGCGAGAGGCGTAAAACGATCCGGGGGACGTGGCGGGGGGGGGGGGCGACTGCCGGCGATGCCCCTTCTGTCCTTCTTCCGAGTATCCCGCGAGTAGCTACGGCGAGAAACTTCTTCGGTATCCCCCGGACATCCCCGATTGCGGCCCTGCCAGTAACATCCCTGCTCAGAGTAATCAACGGGACGCCCGGATTTTCCCGTCCAGAAGCCTTCGCGGCGTAGCGGAAGGCGGAATCTGCCAACCTCGGGCTCTTTGCAGTCTGCGGAGGACGTGGTCGGTTTCCCGCCGTAGAGCAAGGCCCCGGGAGGGCCCGGGCGAGGACTTTACGGTTGTTGGGGGGTTTTTTTTTTTTCTTCCCCCGCTCTTCGCTTGCTGGCGGTCCTCGAGCGAACGTGAGCAGAACCGCCCTGAGTTTTGGCGGAGCGGAGCGGAGCGGCGGGCTGCCTCCTGCTTGGGTCGTCGCCTAAAAGTCTCCGGGGCCAGTTCCGAGTCCCCCCCCGACGGCCGCTTTTCTTCGGTTGGCTGGGTGCAACAGCCGAGGGTGAGCGAGGTTATTGGTGAAGGCGCCTTCCCCGAGGTGCTTTCGGAAGCGCGCCTGGCCTGGGTCACTGAATCAGCCCGAGACAGCTTAACCGGGTAGTTTCCGAGCAGAGTCGGTGGATGCAATGTCCTCAAAGGCGGCCGGCTTTGGAGGAGTTCGGAGGGAAGGGTGGGGAACCGTACCCGCTCGTCATCCATTTAGATTTACTGACTGGTACAATGGCTGCGGGCTCCGCACTTCTTCCCCGGCGCTATTGGTTTAGAGGGGAAAAGCAGGTGGAGTCAACAGGGTGGCGGGAAGGGTAGACAAAGGATGGCTGCTTCTTTCCTGTATGCCAGTGTTTCTCAACCTTGGCAATTTTAAGGCATGTGGACTTCAACTCCCAGAATTCCACAGCCAGCATTGCTGGCTGTGGAATTCTGGGAGTTGAAGTCCACATGCCTTAAAATTGTCAAGGTTGAGAAACACTGCTGTATGCTCTCAACTTGTCCTCTCTGTCTGGTCTCCCAGCCCCAGGTAAGAGGATCCTCCAGACCATCACGTGGGAGGAACCGAGAAATAAGCATCTCCTGCAGTCCTCGGTTTTTTTTTCCTTTTCCTTTTTGGCAATCTTTCCCATTTCCTCTTTCGATGCCGCTCTCTTCCCTCCCTTGCCAATTGACTGTGGAAAATAAGGTTTCTTCTTTTCTGGTTGCCCCTTATCAGGAAAATACTCATTGAATAAACCTCTGCATACAAGCCTGCTGGTAAGACGCCAGTACAGGGCAGTCCCAGAAGTAGTTTTGTGAACTCAACCAACTCGTATTATTGAAAGTTGGGTTCTGCTGTTCCCTGTCATAAGAACGTCTTTATTGTGCGACGTAAAGTACTCAAAACAGAATTTATTCCCCACTATAAGCAACTTTAATTTTTCCTGCAGGTAAAAAGAGGTAGCGTTACTACCCAGTTGCTGTTAGAAAAGGAACCCACCTGGTTTTATCTTTTGATAAAAAAGATTGTTCTGAAGCATGCAATTTAAAATCTGGGTCTGATGATTTAAAGAAGGTTGTGAGTCCCTTTCCCAGCATGAAAATGTCACGGTAGTATTTCAGTCCATTTTATTGAAATGCATCACCACATACTAACATTTTCTTAATACTTGGTTATGCTGTTCAGTTTGTACATCAATATTAATATTTTAAAACTGTTTTCATCCATTGAACATTAAAGAGAATACTTCTCACATATTACAAATATTTTGCATAGTTTCCATTCTCCATCTATTTTGGGACCTTGAAAAAAATTCTGGAGAGTATATGTTTATACTCTTTTAATGGTATTTTCTATATTGGGTATGCTTCAGCTGCTTTGCAGAAAATTTGCAGTGGATTTTATACAAAATGACCTGCAGTTTCAAGTCCTCATTTTATGATGGCATTATTTTTGTGCTACAATATACTTTTGTGAAGATAACAGCGGAAAATAAACATTTTTTCTGACTGCTTTTGCAGATTCTCTTTTTCTAGCCAAAGATATTCCCAAGGTTACAAACTGGTAACCAGTGGATTTCTAAAAGGCATCTTTTTCCTCAACAGCATGGATTGGGACACACGGCTCAGTTCTATATTGGTTGAAACAGACAGCAACATGGCCAAAATTAAGGCAAGTTAAGCTGCAGAGCAATATATTGTTTTTCTACTCTGTTGGTGAAAAATATTTAGTGCTTGAGTGTCCTGTTTGTATGCATACACATATGCTAAACATATCCTAAATATGCAGATACAAAAACACCTTAAGAGATGTATTCTGTTAAGTGAAAAGATGTTGATGGTTTTCCCCCCAAAAAAACCCAACCCAACCCACTGTCTTTAATACTGTAACTTTTGACCACCAAGCTTTTCAGCGTTGTTAAATAGCAGCTACCAGGCAAGTGAACAAGTTATAATAAATGCCAAAATAAAAAGGGAAAAGATAAAGTGTTTAATTGAGGCTTGACTCCTGGTGATTTTGTAGGGACATGTATGTGCAGTTTGTTAACAACAGTACATAAGTTGTTTTTAATTGTTTCTTCTAGGGTGTTTTTTCAACTTTCCAAGCACTAGCCTGGAAAGTCCACAGCATATATTTTGTGATAGTTTCCCATCCAAGTACTTGGTAGCACCCATCCTGCTTGTTCAGCTACATGCTGCCATCTGCATTGAAGTCATATTTAAATGTTTCAGTATTGACTAAAGAGACCAGTATTTTAATGCTCAGTTCAAACAGTAGAGCAACATGACAATATTTTGGACAAAACACTGACCTTTACATTGGTAATGGAAAATGTAACAAGTGTTGAATATCTCTTTCTGACTTGTTCCCATTAGATTTGTATTGAATTAATTATGTAGACTCCTAGAGATGTATGAAGATGTAACTTAAGCTACAGGCTTTGTTCAGTAGAACAGATGGGGAACATGCAGCCCTCCAAATGCAGCTGTCATCAGTGGTATGAAAAAGTGCTGGGGAGTTGATAGTGTAGTTTGGTTTGAGTTATCTCAGAGAAATCTTCATCCCTTATACATGTTCATATAGTTAGCGATTTACCAACCACCCCTATATCAGCTTGCATCTAGTCTCCAGGAAAAAAAAATACTCTGCAGAAGTTTAGAATTATGAAACACCTTGCCCCTGAGGTACAAAGAGACTACCTTGTTTGCAAAGTGGTTATTCTAAAAACCTTAGGAACATGGACAGTGGACCTGAGGCTGCTATTGTTGTAATGTTTCTTTGCCTTGCATTAGTAGTGTTGCATATTTTACATTGAATGTAGTGTAAAGCACCTTGAGATTTTGGAAGTATGATGAAGTAAAAAATAGTTAAATAATAATGCTGTTCATTGACTTTCTGACTGATGTGGATAAATAAATAAAACACTGATTTCATTCAGATTGGTCCTATTGTGTATTTTCCTACTGTTAAACCATTTATTTATAGGCTTGAATTAACTATTTTAATTATGTTTAATGTTGATTTGATATATTCAGCATTATTTTATATATTGAGATAGTGGTTATGAAACAATTTTGAATTCTTTTTATGAGGAATGTTTATTTGAAGTTGCAAATGAATCTTATTTTGGCTTATGTTATATTGAATACATTTTCTCCAATTGCATGCCAATTAAAGTGATATAATAAATGAAAACATTCTATCTTATACTTTTTGTTCAAAAGCTTTTACAAAACTTATTGACTCAGATTTGATACCAATTTGAAGTTGCATTTTTGTTTCATAGTTTCCAAATTGTGTTTTGAAATATGTGGTAACTTTCTAATTATTTTGTTTCTTTCTCTTTTGCAGCAACATCTAAACACAGACAGCATCTCTTCCAAAGGTAAAAGTGATTGACATGTTCTGTATATTTTCAGAACATTTCTTAGAGATTTGTATAATTTCTTCGATTGCAAACAGTTTTCAGCAAGGGAGGAAAAAAAACTCCTGCTAGAATTCTAATGCTAGCTTTCTTCAGAGGATATACTTCAAGAAAGTATATTTTTTAAGCAAACAAAAGATGGCTATGATTTAGGTGCCCTGCTTTAATAGCATTATAGGGACTGGTGTGTTAGAAGCTGAATAAGCAGCTATGTAAGGAAAGTATTGAAGTACAGTACAGCATCATCTGGAAACATAGGTTCTTTATCCTTCAGGCAGAACTTGGTCTGATTTAATCAGATAATTCTTAATGTTTACTAAATCTAATCAGTGGCAATGCTATTTACCCCATTTTGCTTTTCTTCCTTTTTTAATTTGAGGCTTTGTTTCTAAAACTGAAATTTAATCAAATTTTCAGGTTATTGGTTACTAACCAACCAAGTTAGAACAATTTTTTTCTCCCACAATCTTAACAAAACAACATGAGGCTAAAGGAAATAAGTTATCTAGAAAGGAGTTAGTGAAGAATAATCAATTAAAAGTTACTATAATTAACCTTAGGGAGCCAGTTTGGTATAGTGGTTAAAGCATCCGATTACAAATGGGAGACTGAGAGTTCTAGTCCTACCTTATGCACAAAGCCAGTTGGGTGACCTTGGGCTAGTTCAGTGGTGGTGAATCTATGGCACGGGTGCCAGAGGCGGCACTCAGAGCCCTCTCTGTGGGCACGCACGCCATCGCCCCAGTCCTAGGCCTTCAGCTGGGTTTTATAAAACCTTTTCGCTTTAGGCCTCCGCCGCCATGTGCAAAAAAAAAAAAAGGTTCAATCAGTCAATTTCAACTTCTCGTAGGAAAAAAAAAGATCTTGCAAAGTTGGAATTGATTGATTGAACTTTTTAGTCCCACCCAGTCTGCCGTTACCACCGCAGCCACGCCCAGCCAATGGGCCACACCCAGCCAATGGGCCACACCCACCCAGCACTCGAGGATACATAAGTGGGTTTTGGGTTGCAGTTTGGGCACTCAGGCTCTTAAAAGGTTCGCCGTCACTGGGCTAGTTACTTTCTCTCATCCATAGGAAGAAGACAATGGCAAATCATTTCTGAAAAAAATTGCCAAGAAAATTGAAAGAATTTGTCTAGGTAGTCTCTGAAAATCAGATACGATTAAAGAGAAGAAAGAAAGAATAATTAACCTACAAGTAGAGAAGAGTAACTATAAAATTAGATACTGGGGTTTGGGGAAGAATGAGGAAAAAAATATAAATCTTCATTTTTTTAGATGAGATAAAGAGACCAACTGAATACTTAAAAGGAAATACTTCCATGTTTAAACAGCCTTGAGAAAGCTGCAACATGGATAAGGAAAAATACAAATAATGGGATGATTTGAGAGACTTAAATCTGGAGATAATAAGTTGAATATATATAACAAAAGGATAACCATCAAGAGAACTGAAAGATAAAGACAGAAGAAAGGGCATGAGTAAAGATTTTACTGTACTCAGTAGATAAAAAAGGGTTTTTCTTAGAAATAATAACTGAGAAACACTTACTAAAAAGCTAAAATGAATTTTGAAAGAGAATGATAATGAGGACTAAAAAACAATTTCTGTGTCTAAATTTGAACCCTGAAGCTGACTGAAATAGAAAGTTTAGAAGAAAATATAAACATTCTGACTTTTATGCATTATATTTTAGATAATGATCAATATCTCAAGAGATCCAGTTGCCTGCTTATGGAGTAGTTAAAACAAAGGAAGATGAAAGGAACAAAATTATTTATCATTAATGTAACTGGAATTCATATTTAGCAGTTAGAACAAATAAAATAACACTATTGCTTCCATGCTTGCTTAGTCTAATTAAGCTTAGTCTAATTAATTATTTTCCACCCCTGCAACTGATTTGTTAGTGGGCAGAATAAATATTGGGAGTGCTGTTCTGACTCAGCCACAGACTGGACTACCACCCTTGCATTTCACATGTGGAACTCACCTATGCTGTAGAATGGCCAACGAGGAGCTTTCAACTATGAGCCAGCAACTACATTCACAAGCCCAGGTAACTTATACTGCATCACTACATAGTTCTTTTCTGTGGGGCAGACATAAATAGATGCATACATATTTTATTTTCTCTTTGTTAAGGTTGTGAAATTGTGAAACAATTCACCAAAATGTGAAGTGTCATATGCTTTAAAACAGTTGAGGAATTGTGCTCAAAAAGGATAGCTCTGGCCTCCAACCTACTGTTTAGGGTTATTAGTCTTATTCATACATAATGCTAAGTTATAACATAGTTTATGTTCTAGGTACAGTGCAGAAAGCAAAATATATGGCTTATACAATCCACCAACACTACTGTTATAGCATCCAGAAATCCTCCAGAGTAAGCAGAGTCAAAATTCCAACCCATTTTTAAGAGTGGATGGGGAAATTTTAAGATTCAGATGGAAGTTTTAAGCTTCATAGAGATTAAAGCACCTCTTTGCAGCATAAAAATGTTTACCTCCTCTGGAATTGGATTCTTTTAGTGTTATAGTGACCTATTTTGGATATGTTGACATTCATATGAATGTAGCCTTTGAGCCAAGTAAATTTGCATCCACATTGTTTGGGTAAAATGTGTGAGTTCAGTTATCATAGTTTAACATTCTCTTGGGCCAAAATATTATGGCTTATTAATAGATTATGCTTTTGAAAATGTTGGAGAGCAACCATCCCAATCAGGAAATTAGTTTGGATTCATCATGTAAACACAGCAGGGCAAGGTCTGACCCCCTGAATGCCCTGAACCTTATCTAGTCTTTCCCACGTGAAAACTACCAGTCTGGGAAGTTTCCTATGGAATAGGCCTAGAAGAAAATGTAGCTAGTTTGAAATGCCTTACAACGTAGGGGTCTTGTTTGCACCTGACATAAAAACTGTCTTAATGTTATGTACGAACCAGGCAATTGTTCAGATTGGTCCAATTATTCCCTTAGTTTAGCTCACCAGAAAGGCCATATTTAGAAGAGGATAGAGGGAAAGCCCATGAACGGTAGCCATGAAAAGAAGAATTAAATTCAAAGTGGAAAGGAGATGCAGAGGAGGGAAATTATAAATATCAGAATTCTAATAATTTAGGTGCTTTTTCAAGCCTTATTCATTTTGGGAAGTTTTCAGAACATGTAATATTTACTGATTCTATGGCTCTGGTTCTCCTTTCTGCCTTTTTAGATTATAGAGTCACTCACCCAAGCAGTATGTCGGCTCAAACAAGAGAAAGAGCAGCAACAGCAGAGTATCAATCACCTAGAAGGTATGAAAGATTAGCAGTTCTTTTTCCAAAACCTTTCCCCACCCTTTCCTGTGAGGTCTATCTTTGAGACAAAACTTGTCTTCAGAAAATTAAAGAAGCATGATTTTTTTTTATCTTATTCCCTTTTCTACTTAAATATTTAGGGTGATTAAGAATGATTTAAAGCAGTTCATGAAAGAGGTTCACTCTCTTAGTTTTAAAGAGAGTAGATTAAAAACTTGAATACCAAGTTTTTAAATAGCAATTTAAAATATTGGCAAAACTGGCAGGCAAAATATTTTATCGGAAGAGAGGCCTTGCAAACTAGGAGAAAGCCCTCAGGCACGTGATAAAAGGGGGTTTCTCACAAAATTGAATTCCATAGCCTAGCATGGGGATTTGTGGCCTTTTTAAAAGTGAGGCCACATTTGTTAATTGAGGGGTATGCCGGAGACTGATCTCCCCAAAGTGGGCAGGGCCTGGCCTATCCTGGATTTAAATTAAATTTATATTAAATGTTAATACACTTCTTCCCAAAATTTCTAATTTGATCATATTAAAAAAGCATAATTCAAAGATAGTCTTTTAAGATTAGAGGCTAGCTATAGAACTGTGGTCTTGGTACATTCCATCCACACTTAATTAATCTCTTGGGAAAATACAAAAAAAGAAGGTTTGAAGCAGATATTGGAGCAGATTCTGGTAGGAAGACATTATCTAACCTTGTCCTAGTTCACTTGAGCCTATAAAGTAAATAATTAACAATTCAGTGGCTTGAAAGTTTTCCCATCTTCAGATATAAACATGCATTATCAAAACAAAGCTGACACATTCCTTTGAATTTTCCAAACAGCTTCTTTAAGAAAACTTGTGAAGTGATTCTGCTTCCCCTGCCCTGATAAATTTAGTATTTACAGTTTATGGTACCTTTGCTGAAATATCAGAACCTGCCATAATTAAAAATGAAAAAAAATGCTTCAATTTCTATTCCCTGAATTCAGAAACACAGGATGGGTTTGGTATCATTTCAGCCCATTATTAGAAAAAATAATGGAAATTAAATAAAGGTGAATGATATTGAATGGGAGAGTTTTAGCAAAATTCAGAATGATCAGTATTTATTCCTTTTATATCCCACACTTTATAGAAACTTGAGTTAATACTAAAATAAAAACAAAAGTGGGTCTTAAATAATAATGGTTGGAGTATAGTACTGTAGCCTTTCTCAATTCTTTCTGATCATGTACTGAATATGAACGCCTCACTGGCAAGAGAAGTATATAAGCTTCTGTTTGTATTATTAAATGCCTTGGATACCTTTTTTTTGTAAATCCATTTATTTTGTGACAGTGAAACCTGTAGACATGTATAAGTGCATAATGTATTCCATGGTGAAAATCAATGGCTATGGAGAATGGTACCTAAATCCTAAGCCAGTGGTGGCGAACCTATGGCACGGGTGCCAGAGGCGGCACTCAGAGCCCTCTCTGTGGGCACGCGTGCCATCGCCCCAGTCCTAGGCCTTCAGCTGGGTTTTATAAAACCCTTTTCGCTTTAGGCCTCCGCCGCTGTGTGCAAAAAAAAAAAAGGTTCAATCAATCAGTCAATTTCAACTTCTCACGGGGAAAAAAAGATCTTGCAAAGTTGGAATTGATTGATTGAACTTTTTAGTCCCACCCAGTCTGCTGTTACCACCGCAGCCACGCCCACCCAATGTGCTACACCCATCCAGCACCGGACAATTTGTTATTGAAATGGGGATAAATCAGTCTCCATTGGAATACTTAACACTAATAATAAATGACACTAAAGCCAAGTATTGTTGTCTGTTCTAGCAGCTAGAATGCATGGCATGAGCTAATTTTATTTTTCCTATCCTGGTTATTTATGCAGATGAAATGGATCGCCTACAGCATAATTCGCCTGGTGGCCTTGAATCATTGCTGGGATGCAGCATGAAAGGAATGAAGAGTGAGTTCCGCAGCGTTCAGCAACAGGTGCTTCATCAGTCAGATGGGGATTGTACTCCTGATCCGTTTTCCTGTCCTGGCGTCATGCAAGATATGCTGGAGAGGTCAGCCATTTGAATTAACAAGCATAAATAACTTGGCAGGCTACTGTGGTAGGGAACAACAGCTATACTTTTCTACTATCATCTAGAAGACATGCTTACTGGGATTAACATGCATTCCTATATGTTGTTAAGACTTTTAAGAGCATTTTCAGAAGCTTGAATATACCATGAGACTGTTGGATTAGAAAGAATACTTTTTTCTTTCTGAACGGTGATTTTAACAGTGATTTGCTTGTAATAAATAATATTAATGAGATGGCTTATTATAATTAGGAATGCGTGAGCTTGTCTGTCCCAGACAAGCATGAAAAGCAGCTGGGTAATTTACTATCTCTTGGTGCATCAAAATTACAGAGAGCCTATTTGCTACTTTTCAAATTCTGTTAATAATTTAAAACTAGAGTTCATTTTCTAAGGGAGCTTGTAGTTAGTTCAGAGAACTAGTCCTTGTCTTGTAGCTGATAATTCCTACTTTTCTTCTTATTCCAGTAAAAAAATCCTATGGCAAGAATACGAGTGCATCAAGAGAGAGATAGAACAGCTGAAACATAAACTTGGCAAGTAATGCTTGAGGTTCCTGTTCTCATAGCTTTCTTCTGCATCAGGCAAAGGACCACTTATTGGTGGCCCTATTGAAGAAAAAGGAAAGAGATATGCAGCTTAAAAAATTGTATATTTTATGCTTTAGATTGCCAAGAAGATGAACTATACAATCAAGTTTCTGCAACTCATGAGATTAAGAGAATCCAAAACCGGTACTGTAAGGTACAACTATAATCTCTCTATTGCTGCTCAGTGATTTAGTGCTAACAGTGCTACCCCCAGATAAAAAATGAATTCAGTCTTTGTCTAATGAAGCTTATCTATAGTAGACCAAAAAAAATGGAAGTGACTGTTGAGGATCACAGTGTAGTTCCTAGCTAAATCTAAGAATTAAATGGAAAAATTAATCATCCATCCATGACTCATTTGCCCAAGCATTCTTTCTTCCTTAAAATAGTTTTCTATAATTTGGGAGGAGGGGCTACACAAAGCTGCTGCTAGTTTGGTTTGTTTTTTTCCCCTAGCATTGTAAGGAATGTCTGCGTGCAAAAATAGGGTGGAATAAGGAAAACAGACTATACCAGGACAGTACTATGCTGGGAATGAGCATATGCAGCCATCAGTACATTGTATTTTTCCAATTATATGAGCATAATGTAATATCACGGCAGTTGCCCTTTTAGCTTCCTCTTAATGGAATTTAGTTATAATGTTGGCTACAAGAGTGTGAATATAAATTTGCCAATTTGTTTTCTGTATACTTATATATTTTTTCCTAATTGTATAGATGAGTAAACAGGGAATCATCTACCTATAAGAAAAAAATACCCTTTTAATTCATTCTTGTTCATCTTGAAAAACTATATTTACAACTACACTTTTATGTTCTTTCCAGATGTTGGAAGAATTAATAAACACTCATAAAACTCAGGTTCAGGATTTTGACAAAACAAGGAATGAAACTCAGAACACTCAACAGGAGCTCAGTGTTGTCAAGTAAGCCATTCTATATTGTGCTTCGTATGCCTTAGTGCAGGGGTCCCCAACCTCTGGGCCGCGGCCCACTAGTGGGCCATGAGCTGTTGCAACTGGGCGAGTGCACCCACGCATCCCCACTTATGCAAGCAGCGTGTGAGCGTGCGCACGCACACACGCTCCATTTGTGTGAGCAGTGTGCACGCTTGCTGGACACGCACACAGGGGAACATCCCTCTCCCCCTCCCACCGGTCCACAAAGCCAGAAAGGTTGGGGAACTCTGCTTTAGTGAACATGTTTAGAGCTTCATGAAGGATTAGAGAGAAAATGGTTGTTAAATTCTGGTAGCTATTGCTGTCATTCAGAAGACAATGTAATGAAGGGGGGAAATGTCAAGTTAGGGACTAGCAGGCAGTTGCCATCAGGAGGCTCGCTGTTTACATAATTAGTTGACCAATAAAAGTGCCTGACCACTCCATAAAAGTGATGCATCCAGAGAAAATTGATTAGTAAGATGAATTGCCTTTATTCTGTTCCCTATTGCAATTTTGAGCCTTTTGCTTTTAACAACACCATCTGTCAAATAGGTTATGTTTCTGTCCACAAGCACTATAGAATACTTTTTAATATTTTTCTACTGTAACTCTTTGAATTCTTTAAAACTGCCCTGAATTAAAGGTTGTCTCAGGTTCCATGTATTTCTTCCTTTGGAACCAGTACTACTATGGATTTTATCTCTTTTAATCAGATCTACAGTGACTGATCTAAAAGAACAGGTGAAATGTCTCAGCTCAGAAGACAAGTATACTATGCAACCCAAGGAGGATAGCACTGATCTGGGTAAGAGCTTGTTTGTACAATATTACAGAATAACAGAGTTGGAAGGGACCTTGGAAGTCATCTAGTCTAACCCCCTGCTCAGGCAGGAAACCCTATATTATTTCAGACAAATGGTTGTCCAATCTCTTCTTTAAAACTTTCAGTATTGGAGCATCCACAACTTCTGGAGGCAAGTCATTCTACTGGTTAATTGTTCTAACTGTCAGGACTTTTCTTCTTAGTTCTAAGTTGCTTCTCTCCTTGATTAGTTTCCATCCGTTGCCTCTTGTCCCGCCTTCAGGTGCTCTGGAAAATAAGTTGACCCCCTCTTCCTTGTGGCAACCCCTCAAATATTGGAACGCTGCTATCATACCATCCCTAATCCTTCTCTTCATTAAACTACTAGACATACCCAATTCCAGCAACCGTTCTTTATATGTTTTAGCCTCCAGTCTCCTAATCATCTTTGTTGCTCTTCTCTGTACTCTTAGCACGAGGGTTATACCTGATTAGAAGAGATGCACGTGGTCTTGTGGTAAAAAAAAATTGTATAATCAAGGAAATGGTCTGACATAAGCTAGACCAGAGGTCCTCAACTTTGGCAACTTTAAGACTTGTGGACTTCAACTCCCAGAATTCTGGGAGTTGAAGTCCACAAGTCTTAAAGTTGCCATGGTTGAGGACCCCTGAGTTAGACACTAATGCTTGGATTTACCTTAAACATAACCTGAACTCTTAGCAGTCAACAAAACAACATGCTTGCCACTTAGCTATTAATTATATTTGATATATAGCTTACTTTTCTAATCTGGAAAGTACTTAAATTGACAAAGGTTTTTAAAAATAAAAGCATAATATAAAAAATTTAAAACAGATTAAAATGAATGCTAAAAACGTTCAATGGCCTGTGTAAGAGATGTGCCTATTTTCTAAATAGGAAGTGACAGCAAAATGAAAGTTCTAAGGACTGTTCAGTAGTCTGAAAATAATGCAGGAGGAAGCCTTCTTCAATGTACCAGAAAGGAATTTCTCTGGCAGTGGAGACAGATATGCAGAGGCCCTCTCTACAACGGTCCTTTCCTATTTTATTTAGAAATTAAGCTAAATTAATAGATCTATAGTTGCAATTACTATGATGTAGCCTTGTGGTTGCTAGAGAATAGATATGGTAATCTCTCTTTTGCTCAGTGAGGGACTGACAAGGTTTGGGGCAATTTTCCTAGTCCCCAGTGAATTAAAGACAGAAAATAATTTAATTTTGACTCTGTTTTCCAGAATTATCTGTTTATATATATCAGATTCCTCTTTTAGCAATGAATAAATACTTCACAATGAGTCCAACGTTTAGTCTGCTTTTATATTGAAAACCAAACTATTTTTATTTTTTCATATTGCTTTGGAAAATTGGGCTTGTGGTTATGAATTGCTGCTGGATCCCTAATCTCTTTTCATTGTTTTGTCTGCTAGAAAAGAATGAAGAATTACTGCATGAAGACTTGTCCTTCTCCTTTAGTAGTGATGATTCCATCTCTGAGTTCAGTCTCACAGATGTCAGCTCAGACGAACTTTTCAGTGAATCAGAAGTTGTACAACTTACTGGTAAGCACTACTTTGCTTTGAAATACTGAACTATGATGTTGCTGGGAGGTGGGGGGGAGGCAATACTAAAAAGATACCTCTTTCCCCTTTTTTCTTTCTTTTTTTTCTTTCTTTTTCTTTCTTTTCTCTCTCTCCCTTCCTTCCTTCCTTCCTTCCTTCCTCCACTTCTTGAAACTTCAAGGCCTATTTATTTCATCACATTGAAAAAAAACACAATATTTTGGGAGAATGGAAGGATTAACATTCTCTTCCAAGAGATTAATACCCTTTCGTTAATTGTTCAACGTTCTCATTAGCAGGATTTGGAAGAATGTTTTTCCTAAATTTATTTGGATTTTGCTCCATTCTAATCCTGCTAATTTACCTTTAAAAAAAAAAAAAAAAAAAAAGGGCAGGTCCCAGCTTCTGTACATTTGGTTGCACTCCTTCATGCAAGAAGCTTCCAGTACTTTGCAACTTCACTAGTTCATTTTTGCCACATATATATGTGCCCTTTGATGTCAGCTAAATAATCCTGTTTTTTACAAAGAGATACTAATTATTTAACAGGCTCTTCTGCAGCTCTTTTAAAATGCCCCACGTGCTGTCACTTGGGGAAAAGAAAACCCACTAAATGTTGTTTACCACCCAGAGCCCATAGAAAATGGGCGAATAATACATTAGGTGGCTAATACATTCAAATAAATAAATAAAAGGTCCTATTGGAAATCTTTTAACTTATTTAATGGTTCATAGTAATATGCTAATTACACTTGTTGTATCTTTTAGATAACAAGGTTTCTTTACCAAGTTTGAAACTGGAGAATATCCCCGGAGAGGCCATTGGTGGCACGTTGGAGACGGCAGAAATCAGCAGTGAATTATCCACCAGTTTGCCTGAGCTCAACTTCAGTGACTTTTAAAGGATCACTTAAGGGCTGCCTCATGCTTTTTAATGAGGAAACAAATTAAAGAGAGAAAAACATAAGGTGTTGTTTTCAACATGCTAAGCTGCTTTTGTACAGATGTTGCATGAGGTAGAAGGAGGAGGAGGAGTGATCTTAGCCCATATCCTGGGTCATGTTGGTACATCAGGATTAGGTTTGGAATCATTTCAACGATTGTTAATAGCATGCAGTGACTCTTTCTGGAAATGAAAATGAAAAAAAATGGTATTAATGAACCCCAATGTACATCAAATATAATATATCTCTTTCTTTCAAATACTTAACATAGTCTGTAGCCTAACACAGGCAGGAAAAATGTTCTGACAGTTAATTCATCTTAAACTACAAAGCCTGTTAATTTGGTCAGTATTTATAACCCATGAATGAAGCATCTACTAAAGGACAGAAGAGCCTTTACTGTATTACATATATAAAACCATTACTTTGCCACATGTACCAGCAGGTGATTAAGACAAACTTTGCTATGTATGGATGCATGTTAGCTTTGTGATAGTAGACAAATTTTCGGGGCAGTGTGGTTCATCATGTCCTTTTCAGGAGCAGCTGGAATTGTTGAACAATTCTGTGTGCACCCATCTTGTTTTCTTCGCCACTGAGCTGCTACACTGTAGTCTTTGGAGTCATAAGGGAACTAATTTGTCTAAGTGACAGTATTGTCCAAGGTTACTGATTTTGGATTAGGTGGGGAAGAAATCAGTGTAACTTCTTAATTATCATGCCTTGGGTCATTTTCAGTGCGTGGCAAATGTTAGAACAAAATCGAAGAGTCATGCTATAGTTAGGTTTTTATCCAAGCTAAAACTAAGCCTACACTATTTAAGTCAATGAGGCAATATGTCAACGTACCTATGGATTTCTGATTCTCCTTAGGTTGCATTGTGTCACTACACTTTTGAACAGAAGAATATTGCAATAAAGGTTACTTTTTCCTTGACAGCTTTATGGTTAAAATCATACACACATGGCAAGACATCCTTGCAATTTTTAAAGTCAAAAGATTTCCAGTTGTGGGAATTATTAACAGAAAAATCATGAATGTATGAAAACTAAAACTACAGTATAAGAATATAGCATATTAGATATCTCTAATCTTACATCTCTCAAATGTGTAGTCTTTGCATTTTTGTTAAAGTTTGGATTTAATTTATGCAGTGATGCATTCTTCTCATTGATCGGACTACCCACAGATTTAAAAAAACAACTTAAAAAATAAGGCATGTTTTCCTTCCCAGTGTTTCAGCTTGTATTTCTCAATATGTGGGATTCTCATTTTACTCCATGGAAGTAGAAAAGTATATTGAGCAAATAAATTTTTTGAGAAAACTATTATCTGAATTACAGTCCCAGAATTCTTAATCATAGAAGGTCCCAGACTTACACATCTTTATAGTGACAAATTAACTAATTAGAATATATTAGCAACAGCAGTTAGACTTATATACCGCTTCACAGTACTTTACAGCCCTCTCTAAGCAGTTTACAGAATCAGCATATTGCCTTCAACAATCTGGGTCCTCATTTTACCGATCTCGGAAGGATGGAAGGCTGAGTCAACCTTGAGCCGGTGAGAATTGAACTGCTGGCAGCTGGCAGAAGTAGCTGCAGTACACTGCATTCTAATCACTGCGCCACCACGGCTTAATGCAAAAGCTGTTCTTATTTTTCTGAACCATCCAATTTTGAAGATAAGATTAAACTAATTTTGTATTGCAGCTCTTACAATTACATCATCTTTTTCCAAGGCCTAGATCAGTGATGGCGAACCTTTTAGAGACCGAGTGCCCAAACTGCAACCCAAAACCCACTTATGCATCGTCGGGTGCCGGGTGGGCGTGGCCCATTGGGTGGGCGTGGCTGCTGTGGTAACAGCAGACTGGGTGGGACTAAAAAGTTCAATCAATCAATTCCAACTTTGCAAGATCTTTTTTTTCCCCGCGAGAAGTTGAAATTGACTGATTGATTGAACCTTTTTTTTTTTTTTGCACACGGCAGCGGAGGCCTAAAGCGAAAAGGTTTTATAAAACCCAGCTGAAGGATTCGGGCGACAGCGCGTGTGCCCACAGAGAGGGCTCTGAGTGCCGCCTCTGGCACCCGTGCCATAGGTTCGCCACCACTGGCCTAGATGAAGGAGTAGAGACCTGCTAAAATTGTCATGAAGACCTCAATCTTATTCTGATTAATGAAACCCCTGGCATTCCTGTAGGTATGACAAATCAGCATACTAGACAAAGCTGTATCTCTCACATATCCTATGTTGAAAAAGAGCCTTGAATAGGAACATCCCCAATCTCAGGGTAAAAGTAATTTCAGAAGAGGAAAAGGGTTACAGGCAAGGAAGAGGAGAAAAGATGAGGAATTAGCAACAGGAGATTTAATCAGTGGATATTCCAATAGTTCAGAGAGTGATGGGAAGAAGATTTGGGGAAGCATAGACAGAGAAGTCTTTAATTCAGTGATCTCTAGACAGAACACAATGAGTGTGGCTGATTGTATTAATGCAATAAAGCTTGCATGTATTCATCAATAAATTGGACTTTGGTAGAAACCTTTTCTGAAGTTTAGTTTTTGAACAATGAGAAGGGATTAGGCAGAGAATAACTAGTCTTCAAGTCGTTAGGGAACATCAATAGGATGGGAGCCACATAGATTTCTGAGAGATTGCATGCCAAAGGACAGTTGCCATGACGGGGGAGGCACACTTCTCAGGTTCCAATACTGTAAATGACACTAATCAAAGAAACTCAGTGTGTGCCAAATATACTGCCATATATGAGAAATTGGTGGTTCCTGGCCCTATGTCATGTAGGGCATTACAGGTAATAATCACCTTGAATTGCAGTCAGAAGCAGATTGGCAACCAATGCAGCTGAGGAACACAGATACCATATGACATACTAAAACATGTTCATCGCCCACGCACGCCGCTACATTCTGCATCAAATGTTTCTGAGTGGTTTTTAAAGGCAGCCCCATGTAGAGCGCATTGCAATAGTTGAGCCTTGAGGTGACACAGGGATAAATGAGTGACTATCTGAAAGGTTACAACTTGTGCACTAGGTTGAGCTATGTGAAGCCCCCCCCCCCATTGCACACGCTGCAAATGGAGACATGCTAGCCCATTCAAGAGTATGGATGGAAGGTCCTTGGATGGAAGGTGGAGGGGGCCCTAATATCTATAACCACTCAATCTTGGAAGGATTAAGTCAGTCATTTTCTTCCTATCTAGGCCCACACAGCCTCCAGGTACTTAGCCAGGACCTTAGCAGCAACATTTGGTCAGTTTGGAATTGAGAGATATAATTGGATATTGATATTACTTAAAGTCTAATTATATTTTCAGTGCTGTAGATGGCTCAGAATAAGAATCTACTTAAGTAGGTTTTTCTTCATCCTTGAATATAAGTTAAGCAAACTTATTCAATAAATTTTTAAGGCCATGAATTTTCTGCTCTGCAGAAAGCAAGTCTGTATCGATACTTTATGATAAGTACATAAACAAAATGCACAATAGAGCTACTACAGCTAAGATGTGAATGATCACTAAATTGCAGCAGAGTTTATATTGTGTATTGTCCTGTTGCCATCTAGTGGCTATCTCTTTTTGCAGCCCTGATCTGATACCGGGTAGCTATACCATAATGCATACTGCAATGATAAACAGATTGGCGGCAGTAATAGAGTTCTTTTTATCTTGATTAGTGTCCCACCCTTTCTAGCTTCAAAGGTAATCACTGAAAGTGATTTCTAGTTTCTTGCCAATGAACACAATTATGCCTGAGCCTGGAATTAATAAAAATTAACTCACAGAAGCTATCAAAGCTTTCTGTCACCTTCAAAGGGATCTATAAGGACTTGGCACATTGCCCACTAATGCTGTTAAAGAGTCTACTTCTTGTGAAGTGAAACCTTGAGTACCGCTTTGTACTAGCCTCAGGGAAACTACAATGCTGAAGGAGGCAGCTGAGCTTAACAGAACCTGTAGAATATCCTCTGCAGACTTGCCTAGGAATTCCTTGATACATTTGAGGCCCATCATCATTAAAGACCTTCTGAGAAATAGCCTAATACAGGGATAGGCAAGCCTTTTTGCAGCCGGTGGCTCTTTTATTTATTTTTGGTGCTGAAGACCACAGAAAGCATGGCAATGATGCTGGACAAAAAAAATCTGTTAGATAAAATCACTGGTCTTGTTTTCAGAAGAGAGCTGTTGGTTTTTAGAAAACTAAGCTTAATAAAAACATTTGAGAGTTAATGCTATTATTACATTTATGTCATAATATTATATTATTTAGTGACTTCCTGCCTAATTGTGGAAAATAGGAGGAAGCAGTATTAGGTGTGTTCACTGCCTTGAGTTACTTATAAAGTAATAAAGGCAGGATAACAAATCTAATAAATAAAATAAGAACATGTGATGTTGAAATGAAGTAGCAGACCTTTGATGTTATAGGCTGGCTAAAAATGGGCTCCATGGTTGTTTTGTCCTGCAAAAGGTCCACTTGACACTTAGAAATTCTAGTACAGAGATCCTCAATAAGTATCACTCTCAGGCTTCTCTATTTAAGCTACCACAATCCCAGAGTAAATCACAAATCATCCTGCATCCATTTTTCAAATGTGGTATCTTGACTACACTACAAGTGACTGGATTCACACCATGCCAAGCCATAAACCTTGAGTTAAAAACCTCGATTGCTGGGTTTACCCATCTTGTTCAATCTAACCAAATAAACAGCATTAAGGCTTATTTTAGTATATTTACCCAGCATATACATGAAAACAACAACTGTTGAATATGATAAATGACATGAATTGATAAAGCTGCATGTGTAAACAGGCAAATTTCAGATGTTCATGCCTTCAAAGTAGCCAAGACTGTTTGAGCTTGGTAAATAGTAGCACAGAAAGCTAGATACAGCCTTCAAACAGCACCACCTATTAGCGTTATTGCACAATCTTATTGTTCGAAGTATTGTCAACAATACTGGCAGGATTAAACAAATACTTAGATAAAATATTAAGAATGACAGAAAACATTTCGTGTGCCATCCCTTAGTATTGAATAAAGGAATACAATTTCCTTGGTAAATGGATGTTAAATCAAGTGCTGAAAACAGTATAAACTACAGCTACTCTTATTCTCTGCAAAAACACTGTAAAGTAGAGGGAAAATGTACTCCAGTAATAGTAGTCAGACTATGCAGTGTACTGTAAATACTGAATACCATTAACTGGAATAGAAGATTATTGCTTTTTAACTTTGTCTCAACTTGCTAGAGACATTTGCATGGCCCCATATGAAAATGAATGCTGGACTAATTTTTTTAGTATAATTCAGAGGGCCCTGATTAAAAGGATGAGATCACTACTTCTGAAACATGTTTTAAATCTTGATAGAAACTTGAAGTGTAATTCAAGAAAAATAAGAGAGCCAACTTGATCTCCCAATCACAGTTTGGTTGCATTTCCATTCTCAAGAAACACATCATATTCCATATATTTCATACTTTTTACTTTTTGTGAAAAAAGCACCCCATACAGTGTATTTTCTCAGAATCCAACATATCTATCTTTGATATGAAGCCTGCAGTTGAAAAGCTTGTTGAATCATTTTTCTCCAGCATTGCATGTATCCAGTCACAGAAAATGCATATATATTGAGGAAAAGGTCTTGGTTAAGCCGATTTTCAAAAATAAGAAAAAAAGACAGCATTTTTAAAAAGTAAGTCATTTGACTTGCAATTCTATAGTTATTTGCATGTCAGTACAGCAGCTCCAAAATTGTAGAGTCGCTCCCCAGTTGGAATCCCTTACAAGCTTTGTAGCCTTTAACAGGTTCTGCTTATTTTTTTTTTTAAAAAAGTCTTTCTGTTGTTCAGTAGCTGTAGAGGGAAAGAGGTGTGTCTTCCATCATGTCATCCTGTAAGAAAGAGAAAAACTTTAATTTTGTGCTAGCCAAGACACTAGTGAGAGATATCTAAGTTATGTACTATATATATTCTTAGTGACTTCTGAACCATCACTTAATGAATCTGAGCCTCTGCCATCTCAAAGAATTACCCTTTGGAACAGACAGATTAGTTAACTAATATTAAGGTACAGTGGCAATGAAGCCATGTCCCAGACCAGATTCTCATCCTTCCTGATGAGAAAGTATATTAGACAGTTCATTAAGCTTGAAATGGGGAACTGATTTAGATAGCTGCCATGGTACCAACTTTTAGACTATTCAAATAAGGCTATTCCATTAATCTGGAAAAAGTATAGCTACAGGCATAGCAATTCCTTTTCTTTCCTAACTCCATGGATATAATAATATTCACTAAATATGTTTGCTACTCTCATACATAATCCTTCACTAATTATATCTGAATGCTCCTAAGGATCTGTTATCAACATTCACCTTTCTATGTACACATTTGTATTGTGACATTTGTTCCTCCCCTTCAAAATCCTAGAACTAGAGGAAAAATAACAAAATGGCTAAAAGCCCAACTGATTACACAGATGCTCACCATAGGCAAGTCCTGGAGACGTCTAAACCGTAGTCTACTGTTATGTTGTCGATACCTCAAGAAACCCAGGAGAGCCAGAATTCCTACTGTCACAACAAAAATTACAACGACAGCAATTACTAGGGGATCCTTTCCTATTGGACTGGCTACTGGTATACTGGGCAGATCTGAAAGCAAGAAGAAGGCAGTAAAATGTAGTTCATCTTTTAAAGCTATGAAGGTGCATTCACATAGCTACATATTTTAATAATCAAAGGAATACATTGAGCTGCATAACTCAAATCCACCATTGTCTTTAGTATTATTTATACAAACGTGCATTGCCTCTCTCAACATGTTTTCCCCAAAATTAATTCCCAACCTAATTTGGAGATGTCAGAGACTGAATATCTTACAGAGCATATGATTTGTCACTGTGCTATATAGTTCTTCCATAGTTTTATCCAAGACTGAGTTTAACTATTTATCAGTTCTCACCAACCCATTCTAAATCATTTATTCTCTAGATGAGACAAAATTGCTAAATGTGTACCTTGATTGTTTCCCACATCAAATACAGTTGTCTTGTGTTCATGTTTAGCTGGTTCCTCTGTCTCTGCTGATATGATTTTGTGAGGTAAGAAAGTAGAGGAGGCAACCTCAAATGTTACTGATCGAGAAGTATTGGATGTGATCACTTGTTCACCAATAGTAGTCCTTGGAGATGATGTGGAGGCAACAGTGTTCTCTTCTGTGAAAGCCTTAGGGTCCATGACTGGCGTGGTATTTGTTGCCAGCCCCGTGGTAATGAATGTAGAAGATTTTGGCTGGGAAGCAGTTGATGTTCCTGCGGAGAAACATTTAACTCTCAGTAAGGGTGAATTCTTCCTTGAGTGAGGAAGAATTTGATGTCACAGCACTTTTATATCCAGAGGCACAGAATTTGCCAAAGAATCCATGACAGCCTTACTACACAGCACACAACCAGCCTAAACGAATACACCAAGACTGAAATACCCCGAATCATGAATCTTATCAATCTCTGCCTAACCACATACAGATAGTCCTCATAACAATTCATTTATGACCATTCAAAGTTACAATAGCACTGAAAAAAATGATTTATGACCATTTTTCACACTTAAGACTGTTGAGGCATCCCCGTGGTCATATAATCAAAATTCAGATGCTTGGCAACTGACACATATTTATGACAGTTGCAGTGTCCTAAGAGTCATATGATTGTCTTTTGCAACATTTTGGCAAGCAAAGTCAGTGGGGAAACCCGATTCAGTTAACAACCATGTTACAAACTTAATAACTGCAGTGATTCACTTAACAACTGTGACAAGAAAGATCGTAAAATGGGGCAAACTCACTTAACAAATGTCTCACTTAGCAACAGAAATTTTGGGCTCAATTATGGTCATAAGTTGAAGATTACCTGTACTTTTAGTTCAACAGACAAATATATAAACAAATCAAAGGCACATACATGAGATCACCACTTTCAGGAATAATAATAGAGAGACTATAGTGCAATGCCTAGAATCAATAGCATTCCCATATATACAACCCAAATATGGATCTGGTATGTAGATGACACCCCTATCATAATAAAAAAAGATCAAGTAGAGCAGTGATGGTGAACCTTTTAGAGACCGAGTGCCCAAAAACCAGGCCTGCCCCCATGCCACCCCCTGCCCCGCCCCCCCATGCCTGCCCACAGGACCACTCACCGCCTCCAGGGCCCGCTGCAGATCACCCAGGCAGCCCAGCAGCGCTATGGCAGCCACACCCTCTGCCCGCGCCCTGCAGCATCAACTGCATGATGGGGTGTGAGGGCAGAGTCTTGTCTACGCTGCCTGGCTGCCATGTCTTTGGCTGCGCTGCTCCGTGTGAGCCACGCTCAAGGGCGAGTCTCCTTCAGGGGGGCTGCTAAAGAGGAGGGGGTCGTGGGGGGAGGCAAGACTGGGGCAACGGCACGTGTGCCCACAGAGAGGGCTCCGAGTGCCGCCTCTGGCACCCGTGCCATAGGTTCGCCACCACTGAAGTAGAGAATTCACATGAAACCATTAACAAAACTTGAAAGGAATAAAATTCACTAGAGAAGAGGAAAACAACAACACACTATCCTTCCTGAATATTCTCATCAGTAGCGGCAGTGATGGCAAATTAGAAACAAGTCTATTGTAAAACCATCCACACTAACCAAGTGCTCCAGTAGCAAAATAACAACCGAGCTTCCCACAAGAGAAACTGTGTATGAACATTTTTTAGATGAGCACAAACACACTGCAGCAACCCTGAACATCAGAAAAAAGAAACAGATCATCTATACAACATCTTACAACAAAATGGATTTCCACACAATGTCACTGAAAAGTGCCTGACCACTCAATCCAATGTAGCACAACCAATACATGTTGTGAAAAGAATAACACTGCCATACATCAGAAACGTCTCAGAAACCACCAATAGACTACTACAATCACATGATATAGCTGTAACACCCAAACCAACCAAAGCCCTCCAAACATCCTAAGTAAACCACAAGACCCAGCAACCCAGGAAGAAAAAAGAGTCAACTTATAGCATACAATGTAAGGATTACATAGACAAAAAGGCAGATCATCCATGAACACCAACTAGCAATCAGAAGACATGATGAAAGTTCCTTAATTTTATAATGCATGGGCAAACCTAACCAGAGTTTCAACTGGGAAACTGTGAGTATCCTAGACAAAGTTGAGTCCAAAAACGCTAGAGATTTCCTGGAAGCCTGGGACTCAAACAAATCAGCCATCAACAGGCACATTAGGCATAAGCAACATCTACTAACTATATCATTCAAAATAGACAATTACAAAGCCAAAAAGGAAACAAAAAGACCAGAAAGCTTTCTCAAGAGCAATCAACACTCAGATAAGCAGAGATTAACATTAAGGTTAACATTAGACTAACAATCAAGAAGCAAACAATACCTCAATCAAGAAATTGCCAAGCAAGCTAACAGTAAACAACAGCCTAATCAAGGAACCATCAAGAGCACTCCTACCAACACTGACAGGGCAAGCCACTGGTATATAAAATGAGAGTAAATCTCATTCTCTACTAGAACTGATGATATTACCTAGTTTGATAATGAAATATCTGCAAGAAAATAACCAAGCTCAGAAAGCACCAAGGACCCTACAGTTCAACCTTGAGCTACAAATTTTCCGTTCTATCAGTAACATATTTTTTAGAATGCTGAGGCAACCGAAATATTTAACCGTAACTCTGCAAACTTAGTTGTTTTTTTAGCTCAGATGGTGTACTCTTTCTTTTTTCCATTTTTGGGAAATACATCTAATGTAAATATCTAATGTAATCTAATATGATGTTTTTACAGGCTGTGGCTACGAAGGAGAATGAGTCATCCTGGCCATATTTATTTAAACTACCTGCCATTATAAATTATTGATAATTGCCCAGTCTTACCTTGTGTCTCCTTTGATTGCAAAATTTCTGTAGTCGGGATCTTACTGCTGGAAGTAAGCAAGGATATGGTACTGTTGTATCTTCTATCATCATCCAGGCCAAACGTATTGGTTTCCAGTAAGTTTGTAGTTGGAGTAAGAAATAAAGAAGGATCAGTGCTACTATTGGAGGCATTATTTTCAGTCTGAGTCTGTATCCCTGTTGTGGTATTCAAATAGCCAGGTGTAGTAGTGGTCAGATAATCCATCTGACCAATGCTGCTGACACTGATTTGTGGGGTGCTTGTGATAATGTCATCCCTACTGGTGGCTGTGGCTTGGAAGCTTCTAGCCTCAGTGTGAGGAAGCGTGAACTGAGAAACTGTGCTGGATGAAGCGGATGACCCATTCTTCCCATCTCCTGGTATAGGGAAAACAAACAGGAAAATAAAATTTGGCAGCATCCTTACAACATATGTCCTTCCCTAGAAGATCAGCTGGAGAAATAAGTAGAAAGGAGAAGAAGTAGATTCATATCCAAAACAATTGCTGTGAAAGGACAGCATATTGGGGAGTAAGTTTTTTTCTAACTGAACTCTTTTCAGAAGATACTGAAGCTGACATATTTTTTACCAAATGAACATTTCCTTCCTCTCATAGAGAAGGCTTAATAAATGGAAGTAATTGGAAGAAATTGTGTACTGTAATACAATTACAGTGTATACATGGTCACCACTGTCAATTCCATGGATAGAATTCAGGCGGTATCACCAGAATTACCACATCATGAATCCAATATATTTTCCCTGAGCTATGCTTGCATTTTTGCAGATTTAACTATGTTTTGGACTGTTCTGATTTCCTTAGAAAAATTGAAAATAAAAGAGACCTTTGTTGTGAAAAATGTTGCTTGGGGGGAAGGGTGGACACCACTTTCAGACTTTTGGACCATCAGATCCAGATTTCATAAACTAGACTCTGATTTGAGAGTGGAAAAAGGGAATTACATGCAACTGTATTAATACAAGTGGTAGTTGGCACCAGGTCACTTTGCCTGGGCTTAGAAACTAAACAGGACTGGACTTGATTAGTTCTTAGATGAGAGCATTAGGGAATGCCAATTTTTTTTATTAGGCAGACAGAAAACAATACACATGCAAAACCTGGGTGTGCCTATTTCATTCCAATTAGAACATGGAGGATTTTAGATTAAATATTCATTCAGATTTTCTCTCTGGCTTGAAAATAGTATTTTGTATTGCTCTTTACCCACCTTAACTCTTCTAGATTGACAAACGGGATTTGAACAATATTGTGATCCTAAACATGAAAACTGGGACACAGCAATCTTATGTAACATGTTCCAAAGCACCAACTTTACAAAAAAGGTCCTCTCTTGATGCAAAATGAAACTAATAAGTATTAGATAGATCAGGGGTCCCCAACCCCCGGGCTGTGGACTAGTACTGGGTTGCGGCACGCCAGCAACTGGTCCGCACAAACAAGGAAAGCCCCATCCGCAGGATGCAGGCAGCACACAAAACCACTGGTCCGCAGAAAAACCTCTCCCCATGGAACCGGTTTCTGGTGCCCAAAAGGTTAGGGACCTCTAAGATAGATTAATAGTAGTAATGAACCATTCACAGCAGCAGCATCCTGGAGACCAAACACAGTAAACTTGTTTCTTACAATTCCTACATTTACATCCTGAAAAAGTTCTTATTCCTGTGTTCAATGTTTTCTTTCTCATTTACAATGCTTCTAGAGAGGACATCTGAAAGTCAAAAGACATCTGAAAGTCAAAAGGAACTTAACTAACAGTAAAAAAAAAACAACAAAAAACAAACCTCCATGTCAAATCCCAAACTACCATAGGTAATATTTATTTAAAGTATTTGTACTTCTAATATTTATTTCATTATAGAAAAAACAACCTAGCGCCCATTTAGTATTAATTAAATTAAAATGTAATATTGTACTACTTGAGGTACTTTTTGTAGGAAAAACCTCAAAATTAGTTTTCTTTTCTATGCAAAGAAGAGGTAGTGGATAAAAGTAGTTAAGAAATTAGACAAAAATATCTGAATAAACCACTTTTCCCTAAAAATTGTGCCCACAGTACAGGTAATCCTCAACTTACAACCACAATTGAGCCCAAAATTCCTGTTGCTAAGAGAAACATTTGTTAAGTGAATTTTGCCCCATTTTATGACCTTTCTTGTCACAGTTGTTAAGCGTTGACTTTGCTTGTAAGAAAGTCACAAAACCCCGGGACACTGCAACTGTCTTAAATATGAATCAGTTGCCAAGTGTGTGGATTTTGATCACATGGCCATGGGAATGCTGCAATGGTCATAAGTCACTTTTTCAGTGCTGTTATAACTTTGAATGATCACTAAATGAACTGCTGTAAATTGAGGACTACCTATATACTTCTATAGTATTCTAAAGCCCAATTTCTAAGTCCTTAAAGCAGGGGTCCTCAAACTTGGCCACTTTAAGACTTGTGGACTACAACTCCCAGAATTCCCAGCATGGCTGGCTAGGGAATTCTGGGAGTTGAAGTCCACAAGTCTTAAAGTGGCTAGGTTTGAGAACCCCTGCCTTAAAGCATCACATGAGATTGTTTTCTACAATAAACTAGCACAACTGTTCTCTAGTCTAGAGCACTGAAAGTTGCCAGCATGTGGAAATTTAATCTATTGGTTGCTATCCCTACTTAAAAGTAATGTTCTGCCATGTACTATTCTGTGGAATAGTGACTTGAATCACAGGATATGAAAGCATTATATTTATTTCCAGATTTTTAATCAATTTGTTAAACATAGCTGCATTAAATATATTTAATACCTACTTTGTATATTTCAGGTTCTTTATATTCTCTCTAGAATCATTTGACCAATCAGTAACTGGGTTTAATTTAATTTAAATGCATAAGATTTCATGAACAGCAACATCTGATGAAATGTACAACCAGACCTTTTTTTGGCCACTACAAGTGGCCAATCAGTAACTGAGTTCATATATCCTGGTAAGTGATAATATGGTTTGTTTGATTTGGCCCTAATATAATGGGTGATCTAGTCATTATGAAGTTAAAAAATCAGGAATCTGGTGGCATTTGTAGATCTGAAAAGATGCTACCATCCTCCTACACAGTCATTTCTGACTTAGCGCCTAGTGTATAAATCCAATCAAAGGCAGTACTTGACCATCCTAATCTATTGCACAAGTCTGAGACAAGACAGGTAGAAGAAGAACTACATATACTATTTGAGGCGTTTGGAAGACAGGTAGGATCTAATGTTTTCTAAACTAATTAAATAAAAAATAAATGTGTATAATACAGTCTACTAGTTTAATGTCATCGTAGGTACAGCATATAGCAGATGATAGGTCTGAGACAGAAATTTTATATTAAGATTTGACTAATATACTTGTGCCAATTTACACTTGCATCCCCTCCCCATATTAACATGTAGCCCGCTTACATGGCACGTTTTACTTCTCAATCTTTTCTTCTGCTGTGATTTCTCCCCAATATTTCATTTCCCACCAAACAGTGCTTGCATTTTCCTTGAACATGAATTGTATTTTCCAGTCCATTGACATTATAACTTTTATTGGTAAAAATAGTTTTAACTGGTAGAACTAAGTTATCAGCATTTGCCTTTTCTCCCTCTGACCTGAGAGAGAGAAAAAAAAAAAATGCAGGTAAGAAATCTTGGTGTGGTGATGATTTAAGCTGAAAAGCTACTTTCCTACACAATGCATAACAGTGCTGTTGTGAATGACTACATAATCTTTATTTTTAAACATATACCCATATAGAGCATAGCTGTGGTAATGTGCATATTCTAACCAAATTTAAGAAAAATAAAAAGCAATGTAAAGCTGCACCAGGGCCTCTTGCTTCATAATTGCAGTGCTACCTTATAATTTATACCACTTGCCTGCCTATGCTTTAAACAGACATAATCTTTTAAAATGTGTGTACTCTTCGTAGGAACAACATTATGCATTGTATGGCTATGGATTGGTACAATGAATGCTACACTGTTTTCATTAATACATACATCAACCTAAATCAACCACTGTTGATTTAGGTTACTGTACATGTTAATCTGATGTACAATCTGGCTAGTAATTCCTTAGAACAGTGGTTCTCAACCTTTTTAATGCCGCGACCCCAACCAGTCGTAAGTCGAGGACTAAACCGGTCGTAAGTCGAAGACTAAACCGGTCGTAAGTCGAGGACTACCCAACCGGTCGTAAGTCGAGGACTTTCCCTGCCCGGGAGCGCCACGCATGCATGGTTCCACCCCCTGCGCCGGCCGAGGCATAGCTGCCAAGCGGCAGAGACGGAGCAGGCCGACCACCAGCTGGCCCAGCCCAAGGGAGGTAAGGCACCCGCCGGAAAAGGGGAGAAAAAATGGCGGACAAAAAAAATGGCAGACAAAAAAAATGGCGGACAGCCTTGCTTGGCGACCCCCGTGAAATGGTCGATCGACCCCAAATGGGGTCCCGACCCACAGGTTGAGAACCACTGCCTTAGAAGAAATAGAGACACTTAGAGGAGAGATTGTCTTTATCTCTCAGCTCAGTTTTTGCTCAGTAATAAAGTAACTCTCATACAATATTCGTATGGCACCCTTCTTCAAAAGAGTTCAAAACTGCATATACTACCTTCCCGAACCTGGTATTCTCCAGTTGTATTGGGTCTCCAGTTCCCAAGTTGACTGGGAATGTTGAGAACTGCAGTCCTTATGGGGATGAAGCTGAGAAAGGCTGATGTATATGATGAACCCATTGTGACCAGATAAAATTGATATTTGCCTGTATATGTTACATTTGCCCAGAGCATTTAATTCAAAGAGTAATGTGTTGTAAGAACTTTAAGGGGAAAAAGTTATGTTTGCTTGCCAAACTGTTTCAAGACACTCTTTCATTCATCCCAGTGCTTATACTAATATAGAGTGCACAAATACAAAACATTAATTGCAAGCCAAAAGTAGAAGCCCAAGAATAAACATATTACCTGAGCACAAAATATTCTAAAAATGGTTAACAGCAAGTGAAAGAAATATATCAATATTTGTCTAAAAGCTTTATAAATAGAATAAGCTATTTCAACAGGACACTCAGTTAAGGATTCTCTTCCATAATCAATAGTACACAGATTGTATTCAACAAATCTGTTTCTGTGTATATTGTATTCTTTGCACAAGACCTCTTGAACTGAACACATCCCATTCAATTTTCAAATTTGGCAAATCCACAATGACTATGTGTTACACACTGCTTCCAGTATATTTATAACTTCAACAACTGAGCAGTGCTGGGAATTCTTTCTTAAAAAAGAAACCAGTGCTTATTTGGACCAGTTCTTGTTTTTTACTTCAAAGGAATCATTTTATAAACAGTAGTGAGCTTGGCAAATTTTTAATAAGCATAGACTTTCTTCTAGCATAATTAGCAAAAGAGGGAAAGTTATCAGTTGAGTTATCAGTTGAACAATCTGATAACTGATTAATCTGTAACAGTGACTACAACTTAATAAATTGTGGGAGAAGAGGTGAAGAAAAAGGAGGAAGATTGCAGTCCACAAATGTTTTATACTGATCTTTTTTTCCACTCCAACCTCATTTTATGTTAGAAGCCAATGATATTCACAATAAACAATCTAAAAAAAAATACCAACAAGTATTTACAAAGAAAGATAATCCTAAATTTATACTTGCACCTAAACAAAGATTAGATTTTTTTTTAAAAAAAAAAAACTAATTTTCCATTTTTTTCATATTCTCAGGTAATTGAGGATAACCGTTTCATTTAAAAAATAAATCATCTGAAGAAATCTTTCTTTCAGCTAAATACATCATTTTTTGTCTTCAGAAAAAGTTTCCTAAACATTTCCAGATGATAAAAGCTCTTTACTGATTCACTTATTAGCATTCTTTATAAAGCTTTGGAAGAAAATATGACAATAAACTAAACCTTAATTTGACATCAATGTAACTTTTAATATCCAGTTTTTGATTATAATATTTTTAGGAAGATGAGATATCTATCTGAAGAATCCTTATGATGACAGGATAAAATGCTCCATCTTCTCCTTCCCAAATGTAAATTGGGAAGTTCACATTTCATAGTCAAATGAATTTGAAATCTTATATATGCAATGTGAAGATAAACACATTTGACTTTCTTACATGACTGTTATAAAGGTTACTGCAATTAAAACCTGAAAGTGCTATAAATATGAAATTGCTAACAGATACTGCAAAATTTCCACAGAATCTTTATACTGACAGGAAATGTACAGCACCTGCCCTTAGTCAATATTTTCTTTTTCAACTGTAAATATAATTGTTCTCTTTTAATGCACTCTACAACCAGCAAAAGGAACATTAACATCTAAACATGTTTACATTTTTAAAACTACAGTGGGGATTAAATAGAAAGATGTATCACTTGAAATTTAACTAAAAACATCAGGTTTTGCATGAGTGTGTTTTCAAGGGAAATTACCTGCATATATTTATGGTGCTATTGCCTTTTCACTTTTTTCTCTTTTCCCCTAATCCAAAGAAAAATCAAAATGCTTAATCCATGATGAGAGAGAGGGAGGGAGGGAGGGAGGGAGAGAGAGAGAGAGAGAAGGAGGGAGGGGAGAGGGGGGAGAGAGATATTTTGTGTTTTGTTTGAAATTTATGGAGAAAATTAAACTTTGGGAATATAGTTTTTGACATTCTGCATAATCATAGAGTTGATAGAAATTGTACATCTCTGATTTATACCCTGTCATTCTTAAAAAAAGAATCTGGCAAGATAGCGTTAAGTGTAGTCATATGTCATTTTAACCTTTATCAACAAATATTTATGATGAAGATACATCATTGCAAACAAAAATGGTCTTTTCATTAATTTTTGTATCTATATTAGCTAATAATGTTCAAATTGGTAATTGTTATTAATCCTTTACCTCATTATAAGTAGTGAACATAAAAGGAAATACTGTTCCATACAAATTTAAAATCTCAGCTTATAAATTATTTATATAAATCAACCAAAATAATAAAGTCACACAAAGTATCTCTACAGTAATCTATTGACAAGAGTGAATAAAAATATCAGTTAAGTAACTCTCATAAATGCACTCATCTATTTGAATATAGTTTGAGGTATAATGTTTGTATCCTTACAAGACCATAACATGTCAGTCTGACATTTGTGAAATGAGACCTTGAAAACTTGCATAAAGTTCTAAGCCTTATAAAACATACTGGAATTAAATTAAAGAACAGAAGTGGCATGCAAATCTGAGTAAATAAATCAATGACACTGAACTTACATTTTTAAAAACATCCTCTATATATCTATCTGGATAGAGTAGCTGATTTAATTGACACTGTCAAAGTATGTATGAAGAACTGTACAGCACTGTGTTTTTGGATGCAGCCAGCCCCGCTCTAAAATTATTTTAAGTGTTCTAAAAATCTCTTATCTTCTGTAGATTTCTCTCATTTTATGGACTCAGGTATTAAATAAATATGTTACTTTGTTAACTGGTTAATATATAGGATATATAAATACCATTATCAAAATGCTATGGTCTTCTAAATTAGGGGTCATCAACCTTGGCAACTTTAAGACTTGTGGACTTCAACTGGACTTCTGGGAGTTAAAGTCCACAAGTCTTAAAGTTGCCAAGGTCGACGTCCCCTGTTCTAAATAGCCTGAAAGTGTGATTTAAAAAATTGCTTTAGAACCAACAGTGCCTGGAGCCGTAGAATTATAAGTAGATAAGAAAGGGAACAATTCACTTGTCTTCATTCATGTAGTCCTTTTGTTTTTCAAATCAGTGCTAGGAAGCTTGGATTTAAAGAAGTTCTACAGTGATTGTTACTTTGGACCCCAAGAGAAAGAGCCCTTGGAACAGGCATGCCTGAATTCACAAATGCTTAACTTGTTTACTGGGTTCTCCTTAAACATAGACTTATAAACCAATCAAACAGATTGAATTTGCCTAACACGCTACTACACATACATATGCACAAAATCAAAGTTTTGAGTTCAGAGGCTAGGTATGTAACTGGCAAGTACAGCTACTGGATCTATAACTGACCCAGTTAGGTACATTGTATAAACACGCCTATTTGGGCAGAAGAAGTCTCACCTTCCCATATCCCATCTCATTAAGATGACCTTGTGAGAAACATTCACCGGTCAGAAATTTGACAGAGTCACTAAGTGAAGCAGCAAGCAGCTTATTGAAAAATACATTTTTGCAAGAACAGGTGGCTAGCAAAGCAGGCCCACCCAAAGATAGATTTCAGCACCATTTTATTCCCTAAGCCCAAAGCACAAGTCCCTCCCTTGCCACCCCATGTGACAAGGCCACAAATTTACACCCTATCCGAAATGCCTAATTCCCCCATGTGAATCCCCTACTGGTGTCCTACCGGTGTTCCCCATTTGCTTTTGCCCTTTCTAAGTTAGTTTCCCTATTAGCAGTGTGTGCGTGCACTTTTGCCTAGCCTACAGGTCCTGTTCTCTTGAACCCATCTGCATAGGCATAAGCAGTTAGTTTCATTATTATGTGCAAGCTCTTATGGTTAATGTTTATGGAGATTCTCAGTCGACTGGAATTTCTTGTTTTTGAGGGAATATGAACGGATTTCCAGAAAACATTGCAGACTACTACAGGAACCATTTGCACTTCAGTTTGAGATGCAGAGAACACAGACTCATCCTGGACAGCCTGAGCCTGTCTTCAACAGCGAAGGGACACTGAGCAGAAAACATCCTGCAGCCAAGAAGGCCCCACACACATCTGCACTACTCAGGTGACCCTGAAGACACAGACAAACCTCAATGACTCTCTAAAAGAATGCAAATGATCAGCTGTCTGCAAGAAATAAAAATCCTTCCATTCCCCACCATCCAGTCAGAACTGAAAAAGTTTCTAGGATGAGAAGCGAAATGTCTTCAAAGAAAAACAAGGAAGTCCAGTTGCCTCCTGAAAGAGCACCTTTGGGACTCTTATGGTTACACTGTCAGCTAGCTTATTTTAAGAGCGCAGACAGTTCCTGTTCTTCTAAACCTTTGCTTTTTCTTGTTATTCTAGGCCACATTCATTTTCCAAGTATTTGTTAAACTTGGTCCGATGCAAAAACAAGATTTTTATTTTCCACATCCAGAACCCCCAAATCTTAAATCTGCAATCAGTAAATGCTTTGAAGAAAATATTCTAACTCTGCAGCAAATGCACCAAAGAAAGAAAATTGTGACTTCTTAGGTAACAGAAATGAAAAAAAAATCTAGCAAGCAAGGAAAAGCCATGAATTGCTGCTAAGCAATGTAGATAAACGTATAACCTGAGTGAAAAAGAGAAAGCCAGGTTTTGAACCAGAGCTCTGACCCAAACTGTTCTGAATGCTGGCAGTCTACTTGTAAAAAATACAAATAAAAGGTAAGAGCATTTCTGGGTGTATTTTCCAAACTACTGTTGTGATCAAGCCTTATTTGAGTTCCCAAATGCCCTGGTGGTGGACGTGGCAGCTCTAGCACCACTCATTCGGTAAACAACAAGCCCAACGGATAGTGAGGGCCTGCATTAAACCTTGGAGCTTCACGTCCGGGGAGAAGAACTGAGTGCCAGTCCTAAGGAAAGGCACCCCATAGCCCATCACCCAGTGAACTAAGGAAAGTCTGAATCTCTAGGAAATTTAGGCTGAAAGCGAAGTAAAGAGAAAGGCTTAACGCAGGCAGGAGAGCACCGCCTTCTTAGATGGCAGAAAATTTGGCGCGTCCAACCCAAAGAAGACGGGCAGACTCGCCAGGGGGAGGGCTGCCAGGGACTTTTGGTTTTGCAATGGCTTCTGAGGTTCCTCAAAAGTTTGGGATACTTCCAACCGCGCCTGCTTGCACCCGAGACCCGACCTCTCAGGAGGGATGGAGCGAGTGGTGCACGTACCTGGCAGAGACAGGAGGCTTCCAGCGAGGAAGCAACAAACGGTCGCGAGGTTGGAGAGGGAGCGACGAATTCCCACCATGGTGGGCCGGCCCTAGCGGCGATCGGTCAGGGCAAGAGAGAGAAAAAAGAGAACCGGCGCCCCCGGCAGCGTCTGTAAAGATCTGGTCGTGGAGAGTGAGTCACTGCCACGTGGTTCATTCACAAACACAAGGACGGGACTAGTCGGGACGTGTTGCGGCCTCTTTTTCTCTCCCCAACTCTTGCAAAAAATGCCCGAGTTTCTTCAGTCCTCCCGCATCATTCACAGGACTCTCGCGCCCCTTGCAAAAACTGTCGGGGCCGCCCCCTCTTCCAGCTGAAACTCAGAAGCCGGGGCTTTCTCCGCAACTGGCCAGAGTTTTTCTAATCTAGAAGTTCAACAAGAGGAGCCGATACGAAGGGTTTGCCTGGTCGGTAGCGCAACGCTCTGTCCCACTGACGGAGTCTGGAAACAGACCGACCGGCGCTGCGAGAACAGCTCCGCCCCTTCACCGTCGGCGCCGGGGGGGTTCAAAGCAGACCATCCTCTCCGCGATTGGTGACGGAAGGAGTTTTGGGAATCTGTTTAACATTCATCCGTGCTGGCTGAACCGTCTGATTGCCCTGAATGGAGAGAGGACACGCGAAGGGGAATCTGGAAGTACTGTCCGCAGATCTGAAAAAAGTTTCAGATTATATGTTTACCTTTTCTGAGCGGACACGCCTATAATGCTTCATTAAAAATAGCATCTAATAGGTTTACCCAACTAGGTGGCAGCACTTAGCTCATCCTGGCTGATGTTGGAAAGGTAAGCTACATGTATCTGATTAGGACTTGGGAGGCAGATATTCCCGCTAGGGTGAATCGTGAAAAATCCTGGAAAAAAGAAAAGGCAAAACATTTCCAAAAAAAAAAAAGCTACACGGATCCGTCGTCACCAGGCAGGAAAACTCAAACGTGTCCCGGTTTGGGGCATTTCCCTGGCACTTAAATGCAAAACAAATATACCTTGGCAGCTATAATATTGATATGTGAAGGTAGACAATTGGGTAAATTGTGTTTACATAAATCAGAAGCACGTTGTGTGATAGCAGCTAATGTGTGTTCACACATTAATTATGTGTTTGGTGTGCTTTGTGAATCCAACAATTGTGGTTTATAGACCATAATTTATTATTTGATATGTCTGAATCTGAATGGAGCCTATAATGTTTATTCAATAAACTATAGTTAAGCAAAGCAGGGCCTGGCTTATTTATATTGTTACTAATAGTTACTAATAGCTTGCTAACCAACTCTTCACCTTAAATTTTCTGTACTATTCATAAAATATAATAAACATGAAACAGGCTGTAATATGAACATTCCAGGGAAAATAGAGGAATCCAGAGGTAAAGTTGAAAAAAGAATCAAGTGAAATAAACATCATTTTAGCCCCAAGAAAGAAATTGAAGATAATTCTGCTTTGATCGTTTTTGGCAAAAGAGAGTGCAGAAGTAAATACTTTCAACTTTTCAAATTGTTGTTTATGTAACCTACAACAATATAGGAGAGTTCCAATAATTATTGTGATATCTGTTTCTTGACCTTGCCTATCTCAAAAAGCTGACACTTGATTAGAAAATTAAATATACATTATAGCAAAAGTATCTGAATAGTTACTTAGAATGCTACTGAAGGAAATTATAGACGAACACAAAAGAGTGTCTTGGAGAAAATATATGATGTGAGAAAAAAACTAAATTGTCAGATGTTGACTCTCTTTATTATTAAGAGGAAGGGAAAATGCTGTCAAAGATTTTCTTCTCTGGATAAGCCAGAGAATGTTTTGACATTCTATAAATGTTGAAAAGTTGATTGTGAATTTCTAATTTTCAAATAATTAGCAATTTTAGAAAAATAATGTTTTATTTTTAAAGCGTTTTATGAAATATACTTTGTAAAATAGTGTACTTCTGAGTGAAAACTACAAAGTAGTGGTTATGCATCATTTTACATAAATTTTGTTAGATACAATGGCAAAATGATAACGAAAATACACTGCAGAAGACATCCATTGTATGGTACTTGAGAACAACTATAACAAACAATAAACTATGCACTATTTTAATGGATAAATTTAGTGACTGACAGGAGAACTAGTTTGCTAAAACTTGTCATAGATGTATGACATTCTTTAAAAGTAATATGTCCATTTAACCTATGAGTAATTATGAAAATCAAGCATTTGCATTGAAATATAATTATATGTGTAATGAAGGGCAGGATTAATTACTACTAATTAATAGAATTGCTAAAGGCAAATAAGCTTCACTGTGTATAAGGAAAATTGCATTTCTAATGCAGACACATGACCTTTTGGGAAAATACACATTTTGGCTATTCTGCTATGCCAGGCTATAGATTACAACAATTATTACATCGGCAACCAGTATGAGCCATGATGAATCATTATGTGCCATGACATCAACGCAAAATGATGCAAATTTATAATTTGCCCATGCACCTAACCTCCTCATAGCATACTTTCTTAATATTAGCACAAACTATCTTGGACTAGTAGCAAATAAATTAGAGCAGGGGTGTCAAAGTCGCAACCTCACGTGACATGTTGTGACGTATCGTGACTTTTTCTCCATTGCCGGCAATGGAGTGGGCACGGTTTTGGCATGGCGTATCTGGCCCGTGGGCCGGCAGTTTGACACCCCTGAATTAGAGGAAATTTTGTGGTGTCCTAGAGATGAAGCTCTCATCTCACAATCAGGAGGCTGTGGGTTCAGTCCTAGGTAGTGGCAGATATTTCTCTCTCTGGGTGCAAAGAAAACATATCTGCTGGGAACTCCATATAGGTGTCAGGAAGGGCATCCGGCCAGTAAATCCAGTTGCCCCAGATTGACCCCAATGCAAGGGATTACAGGATCATTAAAAGAAAAAAAATGACCTAGTGTTTACTGTGGCTAGTTGGCTGACAGATTATGCAAGATTAAATCCAATTAGAGGGGTTAGTTTTTATGCAGTGTGTTTTGCAGAGCCAGCCAATTGGCCAAATGCAGTAAAACATAGTTTAGTGTTGTGTGAATAAACTTACTGAATAATTTAGCCAACCAGATTTTACTTACCTAGTATATTTTGCCCATGTAATGACTTTTGAAGAAACTATATTGGCTATCTTAAACAGACTTAGAAGCTTTCAAAGTATAACTGGATGATGATGTGAATAAAATTGAACTGAGGGGACCATTTCTATCTTAGTTTTATTTATCTATTTATCCTATTCAGCTTGTACAGCTTCCCTGTAAACATGCAACTCTGAGCAGCTAAAATCCAAATAAAATAACAAAACCACTAGCAAAAGTCAAAGCCCAACGAGGCACTTCATATCACTATATAAATCAACTCCCTAAATGTGATCTTATCAAACTTCCTGGTCCGAAGTCTGAGAGAAAAAACAAGACAAGCTAGGTGAGAACCATCCTGATCTTGGAAGCAATTCCACAAGGTAGGCACAGTATCAGAAGATACATCTGGATCCCATCAACTCACTTCAGAGGGTTGTTGTGGGGAAAACAGGAAAAAGGATATTAGATTTGTTTGCCACCTTAAGTTATTTATACAAATAATAAAGGCGGTATAAAAATACATTTAAAAATCATAAAAATGATATTTTTAGAAGATGGGCATGTCCATCCTGTCATATTTTCTGGATTGGGCAGAAAAAACTGCAGGCAGGCTATTTTGCAAATGATCTGGCCCTGTGCCTGAAGGGGTCTCTAAATATAACCAGCATCTTTTATTGTAGAAACTTGTTTGGGGCCAATTGCAGCTCACAAAGAAGTGGTATTATATGTTCATATTATGGCATGCCCATAACGTGTACTGCTGCATTCTGGACCAGATGCAGCTTCTGAGTAATCTACAAGGACAGTTTCATGTAGTTCATTGCAGTTATCAGACAGGAGGTAACCAAGGTATGAGTGAATGTGAGCAGAACCTCCATTTAGGAATGAGCTCAGTTGGTGCGCAATATAGATTTTTGTAAGAACTCTTTTAGCCGTGATTGCTACCTAGTCTTTAAGAAGGGACCAAGTATCTAGAAGAAACCCCAAATTACACACCAGTTTTATTTGGGAAAGCCCAACCTAATTCATTAATGGGAAATGACCAGATCTAGGGCAGGCCTTAAAAATATAGCCATTCAGGTTGCAGTGACTTGGATGGGAAGAAAGAGGTGTGTAGATATCACTCTAGCAAGATGGCAATCTGGGGATATTATCAAAGTGGGAAAATAGTTATATTTTGATATTCTTACCATGAGAAGATAATTCTTAAAGATTATCTTCCGCTCTCTTCTGCCATTTTATCTCCCAGAGTTTCTTTGGAAACCAGAGGCCTCCTTGGAATCCATGAACAGAGAAGTAGCACAGGTATAATCTGGGTGAAAGCTACTGTCACCCCTGAAAGGGGATTGCTCTGCCAGCATTCCAGAACAAACACAAATGCTTTGAGAGACTTTTTCAGACATAGCATTAATTGTCGATACTTATTTCAGTAATGTCTCATATTTTCATTCCTTTCCACCAGCTTTGTTTTTGCCTCCTGTCCATTTCCATTTAAAATACTTTTTCTATCTTAATTTCTAAAGAAGTAGAACTGTTACACAAAATGTTAAGGATTTTAATTTTACGTATTTGGAACCTTTGAAATTGTTCACTACTGTAGTTTGAACACAAGATGTCACTCTCATTTTAACTTTTATTGAATCACAGACTGGTACATGTACCTATAAATGTTGATTTATAGCTCAATTTCCTGGGCAAAAGTTGAAGACACATATCCAACATGCTATCCTGGACAAATTTTACACTTTAATTAGAATATATTAGTTTTCCTCAAACATCATAAAAAGATTGGGAACTACTGCTCAATACTATTTCTGCCAAGTATTTTCCTACACAAGAAACATTTTGAAGAATGCTTTTGGTTTTTAAGGAGGCCTTAGAGAATTTGGCAGAGCCTGTGTTTCCAGTTGACTTTATAAATAAGCAGTGATTTTAGAACTTCCAGTTCCATTTGTTTTCTCTCATCTGTCAAGTATATTCCAAAT